AATGTGCAGAAGCCTGTACTTTTCCACTTCATGTTTTGTCTATCTGAAGGCCAAGCTACATGGCACTGTGGAAGCTGCTGATTGGAGGTCTCCATGCCTCCGCTCTGTATAATACACTTGCATTCTGTTGTTCGTGTTGTTCGTGCTGTCTCTACCATCGACAATAAAACATGTCTTCTGTCTGAATTTATGACACGATCCCAGACTTGGCTCATCTTCTTCAGGTGGTGGAAGGATGCGGGCCTTGTCTGTAACATCTACAGAACAGAAGACTTTTTTTTTTACACAAAAAGTGTTTTTTTTTTCAAGCCAAAACTGAAAAACCTCAAAAGAATGCATCTGGACCAGCACACATGGACAATCTGCACAGCCCCTGATTCCACACAGGCTGTGAGCTACTGAGACATGTGTGAGATTTCATAACACTTTGAAGCATCTTTTGTTAAAGTTAAACTCATCATTCTATCAATGTGCAGAAGCCAGTACTTTTCCCTTGTTTTGTCTATCTGAAGGCCAAGCTACATGGCACCGTGGCAGCTGCTGATTGGAGGTCTCCATGCCTCCGCTCTGTATAATACACTTGCATTCTCTTGTATCTGTTGTTCGTGCTGTCTCTACCATCGACAATAAAACATGTCTTCTGTCTGAATTAAAGACGCGATCCCAGACTATGTCATCTTCTTCAGGTGGTGGAAGGATGCGGGCCTTGTCTGTAACATCTAGAGAACAGAAGACTTTTTTTTTTACACAAAAATGTGTTTTTTTTTTAACCCAAAACTGAGAAACCTCAAGAGAAACCATGCATCTGGACCAGCACACTTGGACAATCTGCACAGCCCCTGATTCCAGTCAGGCTGTGAGCTGCTGAGATATGGACAAGACCAGCGTCCTCTTTTGCATGGACATCATTTGGAACAATTGGATTACACAATTTGGACATAATTTGGACTGAATTGAATTGCTGAATCTGGACACTGAAGCTGAAACGTGTGATTGAAAGACACGTCACAGAAGAATTCATGGCTCAACACAAATGCAGCCTGAAGAATCAAAACAAAGAAGTGGGAGAGACTGTTTTCAAAGCAATATCTGGAACCACCATCGACTGATGAAGTTTGATATTTTACTGAAGATTGTTGACAAGTTTTATGAAAGATCTGAACATGTTTTATGAGTTTTATGAGTTTAAGTATTGAGTTATGAGTTCTGAGTTTTTTGAAGTACCGAGTGAAGTACCGAGTTTAAGTATTGAGTTATGATGTTATGTTGCTGTTTATCGATCCTGATGGTCACACGTGAATGTATGACCAGAGGGGGGAATGTGAGATTTCATAACACTTTGAAGCAACTTTTGTTAAAGTTAAACTCATCATTCTATCAATGTGCAGAAGCCAGTACTTTTCCCTTGTTTTGTCTATCTGAAGGCCAAGCTACAAGCACACCGTGGAAGCTGCTGATTGGAGGTCTCCATGCCTCCGCTCTGTATAATACACTTGCATTCTCTTGTATCTGTGATCGTGTGCTTTGTTCGTGCTGTCTCTACCATTGACAATAAAACATGTCTTCTGTCGGAATTTATGACACGATCCCAGACTTGGCACATCTTCTTCACATGGACAATACATCGTCCTCTTTTGCATGGACATGATTTGGAAAAATTGGATTACACAATTTGGACATGATTTGGACTGAATTGAATTGCTGAATCTGGACACTAAAGCTGAAACGTGTGATTGAAAGACACGTCAAAGAAGAATTCATGGCTCGACACAAATGCAGCCTGAAGAAATCAACACGGAGAAGTGGGAAAGACTGTTTTCAAAGCAATATCTGGAACCACCATCGACTGATGAAGTTTGGTATTTTACTGAAGATTGTTGACAAGTTTTATGAAAGATCTGAACATGTTTTATGAGTTTTTGAAGTATTCCGAGTTTTGAGTTTTTTGAAGTACCGAGTGAAGTACCGAGTTTATGAGTTTTTGAAGTATTGAGTTATGATGTTATGTTGATATGTATGTTGTTGCTGTTTATCGATCCTGATGGTCACACGGGAATGTGTGACCAGAGGGGGGAATGTGAGATTTCATAACACTTTTAAGCAACTTTTGTTAAGGTTAAACTCATCATTCTATCAATGTGCAGAAGCCTGTACTTTTCCACTTCATGTTTTGTCTATCTGAAGACTAAGCTACATGGCACCGTGGAAGCTGCTGATTGGTGGTCTCCATGCCTCCGCTCTGTATAATACACTTGCATTCTGTTGTTTGTGTTGTTCGTGCTGTCTCTACCATTGACAATAAAACATGTCTTCTGTCTGAATTTAAGACGCAATCCCAGACTATGTCATCTTCTTCAAATCTTCATGTTGTTTTCCAGCTCGCAAATCTTTCAGTGCCCATGCTCGCTTCTTTATAAAACAATCTTTGCTAATTTCTTTTGATCTCAGCTCTGTTGGTTTGTGAACACATTTTCTACTTATATAAGAAATAAACATATTTCTGAATGCAAGAAATAGTTTTTTTTTTTTCTTGAATTTATATTTGCTTTTTGGTAGTGGATGTTCATAGGGTTCAGTTTTCAGTTACATTTTTAGGGCCCACTTGCTTTTAAAAAGTGTGTTTTCAAGTGCTCATCACTACATATATTTTTGTTTCAATACACATTTGAGCCGAGAAAGCCCCATACAGCACAGATCAGGGACTGCCACAGGTCCAGACTGTCCAGTATTCATGAGCTCAGAATGTCCCCCTGTCCCAGAGAAACTGTACATAGACATTACAATAGGAGCAGGGGAAAACAACTGTTAATCTCCCCACACCTAGTATCAACCGAGACGTCCCTTTGCATCTTGAGTGCTCCATCTCAACATTTGGTCTTACAATAACAAATAGGTCTATGAGATTTCATAACACTTTTAAGCAACTTTTGTTAAAGTTAAACTCATCATTCTATCAATGTGCAGAAGCCAGTACTTTGCCCTTGTTTTGTCTATCTGAAGGCCAAGCTACATGGCACCGTGGAAGCTGCTGATTGGAGGTCTCCATGCCTCTGCTCTGTATAATACACTTGCATTCTATTGTTTCTGTGATCGTGTGTTTTGTTCGTGCTGTCTTCTGTCTGAATTTAAGACGCGATCCCATGATTTGTCATCTTCTTCAGGTGGTGGAAGGATGCGGGCATTGTCTGTAACATCTAGAGAACAGGAGACTACTTTTTTTTTTTACACAAAAAAGTGTTTTTTTTTAAGCCAAAACTGAAAAACCTCAAGAGAAACCATGCATCTGGATCAGCACATGGACAATCTGCACAGCCCCTGATTCCAGTCAGGCTGTGAGCTGCTGAGACATGGACAACACCAGCGTCCTCTTTTGCATGGACATAATTTGGAACAATCTGGATTTCTGAATTTGGACATAATTTGGACTGAATTGGATTGCTGAATCTGGACACTGAAGCTGAAACGTGTGATTGAAAGACACGTCACAGAAGAATTCATGGCTCGACACAACAAATGCAGCCTGAAGAATCCAACACGGAGAAGTGGGAGAGACTGTTTTCAAAGCAATATCTGGAACCACCATCGACTGATGAAGTTTGGTATTTTACTGAAGATTGTTGACAAGTTTTATGAAAGATCTGAACATGTTTTATGAGTTTTTGAAGTATTCCGAGTTCTGAGTTTTTTGAGGTACCGAGTGAAGTACCGAGTTTATGAGTTTTTGAAGTATTGAGTTATGATGTTATGTTGCTGTTTATCGATCCTGATGGTCACACGTGAATGTATGACCAGAGGGGGGAATATGAGATTTCATAACACTTTTAAGCAACTTTTGTTAAAGTTAAACTCATCATTCTATCAATGTGCAGAAGCCAGTACTTTGCCCTTGTTTTGTCTATCTGAAGGCCAAGCTACATGGCACCGTGGAAGCTGCTGATTGGAGGTCTCCATGCCTCTGCTCTGTATAATACACTTGCATTCTATTGTTTCTGTGATCGTGTGTTTTGTTCGTGCTGTCTTCTGTCTGAATTTAAGACGCGATCCCAGACTATGTCATCTTCTTCAGGTCTTTGTATCATGGCAAAGATATTGCATTTAATGGAGCCAAAATCAGGCATTAAAGCCAGGGAACAGGTCATAACTTATAGTGTTTGTCCCAAAAGTCATGTAAAAGTTTTGTACAACCACAACATGCTGTTGTCATATTATTAAAACCCTTTTTAAAAATGTAATATAATACAAAAGATTGTAAAATTATCTTTTGTATTTATACGAATGAGCCCTATGAGTAACAATTTGATGCTTTAGGCTGTGAGCTGATAGGCACCTGTCAGAAAAACGTGATGAAAAAGGTGGTGAAGTGTAATATATTATGTATTATATGTATGTTTATCACATAGTTCCAAGATTAAGTACCACAGATGAAATTGTTGCCCTTCAAAATCGTATCGAAATTAAACATTTTGAGAATGAATAATAAAAAAACAAGCTATTCCAAGAACAAACAATTGACAGTTTTCAAAAGGAACATTTAAGCTTGGAATGTACCTCTGTATAACAATGTTTTTACTGCTAAAAACTTTAAAAGAGAGAGTTTGACCTAGAATTTCTATTTCTGACCTAATTCACAGAATTCATCTTCATGTTGTCCATTTGTGTGAATTAGCATCTCATTGGACCAATGCAGTGACACACCTTGAGTGTCCTCCCCCACTGACCTGCACTATACCTGTGCTGCACATTAGCACATCAGCCTGAAAAGTAGTGATGGGATGAAGATGCCTCAAGGAGTGAATTGACACTTTCTACAAACTGTAATGACACTTTATTGACCCTGTGATGGTTACTCAATGGCGACCAGTCTGAGTAGCTTTGGTCCAGGGAGGGGTGTGTCTTGAGCAACTCCCCATAGTCCTGCCTCATCCCAGGCATAAAAGGCCCTCTCCTCACTGCAGACATCAACCACAGAAGCACCGATCACAGCTGAGAAGATGACTGCCATGTACTGGACCACCACTGAGATCCAACTCCTTCTGGAAGTCACGCTCCAGTACAAAGAGGAGAAGTCCAGGTGTGAGATTTCATAACACTTTTAAGCAACTTTTGTTAAAGTTAAACTCATCATTCTATCAATGTGCAGAAGCCAGTACTTTTCCCTTGTTGTGTCTATCTGAAGGCCAAGCTACAAGCACACCGTGGAAGCTGCTGATTGGAGGTCTCCATGCCTCCGCTCTGTATAATACACTTGCATTCTATTGTATCTGTGATCGTGTGCTTTGTTCGTGCTGTCTCTACCATCGACAATAAAACATGTCTTCTGTCTGAATGAAAGACGCGATCCCAGACTATGTCATCTTCTTCAGGTGGTGGAGAAGCGGGCATTGTCTGTAACATCTAGAGAACAGAAGACTACTTTTTTTTTTACACAAAAAGTGTTTTTTTTTTAAGCCAAAACTGAAAAACCTCAAGAGAAACCATGCATCTGGACCAGCACATGGACAATCTGCACAGCCCCTGATTCCAGTCAGGCTGTGAGCTGCTGAGACATGGACAACACCAGCGTCCTCTTTTGCAAGGACATAATTTGGAACAATCTGGATTTCTGAATTTGGACATAATTTGGACTGAATTGATTTGCTAAATCTGGACACTGAAGCTGAAACGTGTGATTGAAAGACACGTCACAGAAGAATTCATGGCTCGACACAAATGCAGCCTGAAGAAACCAACACGGAGAAGTGGGAGAGACTGTTTTCAAAGCAACATCTGGAACCACCATCGACTGATGAAGTTTGGTATTTTACTGAAGATTGTTGACAAGTTTTATGAAAGATCTGAAAATGTTTTATGAGTTTTATGAGTTTTTGAAGTATTCCGAGTTCTGAGTTTTTTGAAGTACCGAGTGAAGTACCAAGTTTATGAGTTTAAGTATTGAGTTATGATGTTATGTTGCTGTTTATCGATCCTGATGGTCACACGGGAATGTGTGACCAGAGGGGGGGATGTGAGATTTCATAACACTTTTAAGCAACTTTTGTTAAAGTTAAACTCATCATTCTATCAATGTGCAGAAGCCAGTACTTTTCCCTTGTTGTGTCTATCTGAAGGCCAAGCTACAAGCACACCGTGGAAGCTGCTGATTGGAGGTCTCCATGCCTCCGCTCTGTATAATACACTTGCATTCTATTGTATCTGTGATCGTGTGCTTTGTTCGTGCTGTCTCTACCATCGACAATAAAACATGTCTTCTGTCTGAATGAAAGACGCGATCCCAGACTATGTCATCTTCTTCACAGGCAGAACATCGACTGGAGAAGCCACACCAGCACCTACCACGACATATGGAAGGCCTTTCTGCAAGTCTACCCAGTCAAGAGGGCTGAGGAGGGGGTGATGCACTTCCCACATGACGTGGAGAGGATCAACAAAGCAAAAGTCATCTTCAGGCTTATGGTGAGTGTCGCAGGTTGCTTCTCATTAGAAATACAGTAGAATTGTTTCCTCTTTGAATTAATGTAGTAATGTTTTAGCAGCAACTGTTTAAAGTCAGAGTAAAGTTAAATCAACAATCTTTGTGTCACCAGTCATGTTTAGTGTTTAATAATCTCTCGTGTTAACTTTCAGGAGATGAGGAGGAAATTCCACAAGCAGATGGACACACGCAACTTTAACTATGGATTCTGGGACATCTGTGAGAAGATCTGGGGAGAAAAGGAGCCCTGTGACGTTCCTGGAGTAGAGCAAGCTCCAGTGGATGAAGAGGAGGAGGTGGAGGAAGAGGAGGACAGTGAAGACACCTGCAGTCCCTGGGAGTCCGAGAGCAGAGACTGGAGCTCCACAGAGTCAGAGGACGAGACGGAGATGCTGACAACACCGTGCAAGAGGAGACTGTTTGAAGAGAATGCAATCGCTCTGGTATGAACATTTGGTTTAAGGGGAGAAGGGAATGGGTGATACTGACAGATATTGTATTTTCAATACAACAGTTTATAAACCAAGAATGTTTTTTCCTTTTAGCATCAACAAGATTCATCAGAGAATCAAGAGAGTTCTACATCATTAATTGACCAAATCATAGAAGAGTTGTCCACTGCCTCAGAAGAAGAACTGACCCGTTTAACATTTCCATTAAGAAGTAATGGAAGTACCGTCCAGCAGTCTGTGCATATAGGATACAATCAGCATCAGGTCTGGCTTGACTCTCCTGAAGACATGGTCCCTCAGGTCTGGCCCAACTCTCAAGACATGGTCCCTCAGGCCTCGCTTGAGTCTACTGAAGACATGGTCCCGGAGGCCTGGCCTGAGACTCGTCAAGACATGGTCCCTCAGGCCTGGCCCGACTATGCTGAAGACATGATCCCTGAGGCCTGGCTCTTTACTCCTCAATACATGGTCCCAGAGGCATGCCTGTTCACTCCTCAATACATGATCACCCAGGCATGGCCCTTCGCTCTCCAATACATGCCCCCCCAGGCCTGGTCTTTCGCTCCCCAAGGCACCATCTATCAACTGCAACTGCTGACAAAGCTCAGCTAAAAGAGCAATGAAGACGCCTGAATATAAACTTTGAAAGATGTTTTGCACACTTATCTTGATACCAGCACTATTACATTGTGATGACGTTTGCTACTTAATGAATAAAACAATCTATGCATGCAAAGATTCTTCAGGTGGAGAGGAGGAAGATTATAATTTCAGCGTTGGTATATTTCAGAGGTATCTAGGGTTAACAGCAAGGACGTGCAGAGCCTCCCCTGCCATCATAGAAATAAATAATTATTCCATTTAGTAATATGAGTTTTTTTTTTTCCACTTTCTCTATGCTTTTAATGTCTTTTCAGTACGGATGATTTCAGTTATCAAAATTGCTAAAATCCTGTTTTTCCTTTTCAAACAGATGTGCTGGTTGACATTTTGCAGTTCGTTTCAAATATTCTGCTTTGAAAACATTTGTTATACTTCCATAGTGTTAAGTAATGTATTGCACATATGTACTATTTATATTTATAAGTCTTTTGATCAGAGAAAATGAGGTAGTCGATATCTGTGATTCACCGATTGGGGGCAATAGTGAACCTGAAGTTCATGAGTTTCTAACGAACAATCGGTCCAATCATTGCTATTTCTTTTGCTGGAAAATGTATAATTTGATTGATGAGTTTTTTCTAAACTGGACATTCACTCAAAGCAAGAAGTAATAAAAATTGGGAGATGGATTATTAAAATATGCTAGTTTTCTTGTCTTTATATTATGTTTATTAATTAACAAATTAATGCTATTTTATAAGAATAACAATTGTAAATCTGACTTTTAAAGTCATTGCCTCTCCAATCACAAACCTCACTGCACGTTGCTGGGTAGCAGCCAGGTTTCACGCAAAAGTTACATTACATTAGTGCAATTTTCCCCTCCGGACAAACACAAGAACAGACTTACACATTCATTTCATATTGATCAAAATTAACTATATTATGATTGCATTGTAACTGACCACAGCCTTTAACAACTTAGAATCAGCTACTAATCAACACCTCCTTTAAAAGTGTTCTGGGATGAGCTGGTTTTGATTTGATATTGAATGTCTGTCTGCATGTTGTCATCACTTCTAATCCTCAAAGTTAAGGAGGGATAGGCCTGATAGTACTTGGATGGGAGGCCAGACTCATCAAGATACAAAAATGTACAGCTTAGTGAAAAAATCTTTCATTTTGTAATAAAAGCACAACAAAAACAAGTACTTCCGAACAGAATTTCTTAGAGAATACAAAATGCCATTTTCAAGAAAAAGGCTAATTTGACAAGGGGAAAAAATATGCGAAAAGGAATGAGCAGGAACTAGTTAAGAATTAAGTTGATGATCCGGGACACTCAACGTTCTACAACATCTAAGGACTTATATTGTGATATTTCATAACACTTTGAAGCAACTTTTGTTAAAGTTAAACTCATCATTCTATCAATGTGCAGAAGCCAGTACTTTTCCCTTGTTTTGTCTATCTGAAGGCCAAGCTACATGGCACCGTGGCAGCTGCTGATTGGAGGTCTCCATGCCTCCGCTCTGTATAATACACTTGCATTCTCTTGTATCTGTTGTTCGTGCTGTCTCTACCATCGACAATAAAACATGTCTTCTGTCTGAATTAAAGACGCGATCCCAGACTATGTCATCTTCTTCAATATCAACAGACGACATTGGTCAACTCCCCCTGATGGATCAATACCTTGTTCTTATTTTTTTAAACAGTTTGATTCTCTGATCTGTGTTGGTGATTTCAAAGGTTTTATTAAGTCTTCTGAGATAACTACTGTTGTGATATATAGATATAGAGCTATAAAGGAAAAAAAGGAATTGAAAGTGAAAAATTAAAAGGCCTAAAATTGTCTTTCAGTAAATTTCCCCAAAACAACATAAATACAATTTCCAGGTATTACATAAACCAGCCATTCCCAAACTCAGTAACACCGAGGCCCCCTTAAAAATCTGACGGGTCTGCGTGGCCCCCCAAAATAATAACCAAGAAGACAACATTAGGAAAAGGCTCTTCTGGTTATTTTATTTTGGGGAAATAGCCTCTGCTACAAACATTGTAATACAAAAATGATTACAGTGGATTATTCAAGTCAAATAATGAACACAAATATTTTAATATTACAAACAAAACATTATAAATTTAACATTAAATAATTATATTATTTTTTTAATTTTTTTATGACCTCCCGCGGCCCCCCTGCAGTACCCTCGCGGCCCACCAGGGGGCCGCGGACCCCACTTTGGGAGACACTGACATAAACCTTCCCCTTAAAGGCACACCGTGTAACTCTTGGCCACTAGGGGCGCTAGACCTGCAACTTTCACGTTTAGCGCCCCTAGTGGCCACAAGCAACTCAGCACTGTCGCAAAAGTCAAACAGTCAGCCGGTGTCTTTTGAGTGTGTATTCAGACAGCATGCACTGGTGTGTGTGTTCAAACTGTAGAGACATGCCTACAGATATTGAGAGACTCTGCTGTGGTCAGCCTCCAGACCGCTGCATTAGTAATCTACCACACATGGACTTCTATATCCTGGATGAGGGAGTTCTGCGTCTAGCTCGTGCTGCGTGGAATGACATCGTTGCGGTCGATGACATCCAGGAACCAGGTGAACAGCAGCGCTCATACAGACATGCAGCTTACAGCACGATCCCTTTCGCGTTTCCTCTTTTTAGCCTCCTCCAAAGGTTTAAAATTTTTCCTTGCCTCAGCCATGACCAGGAGTCGAGCAGGTGAAAAATGAGTAGCAAAAGCCTTAGCTCCATGAGTATATCAGCGCCTGTAGCCGTAAAGCAAGTCTTTCTTCCAAGTCACGTGACCTGGTGGCAGACGGTCCGTCTGCTCGAAAGTTACATGGGCGGTATTTCAAGAGGGCAGCCCCGCTCGGAGCATTGCAAGTGTCAAGCGCTGTATATTGGCCCAAGTATTCATATAAAATAACTCATATGTGTCAACTCTTTAGGTCACAAAGTCCGCGGTGTGCCTTTAAGGAAAACACAAGACACGGGTAAATTTACTCTTCATGATCTCATCTTTATTGCAACTTTATTGCGTTACATTATCATTGGGTGTTGAGCTAAGCACTTTGCATCGGCTGACTAATTCACAAAAGACAGTTGCAGCATCTTCACATGTATGGATCCCCTAAATACTTATTTTCCAATATTTACTTCATTACAGAACTGGAGTTTAACAACAACATTCTAAATCACTGAACTAATCTTCATGTTGTTTTCCATCTGTGTGATTTAGCATCTCATTGGACCAATGCAGTGACACACCTTGAGTGTCCTCCCCCACTGACCTGCACTATACCTGTGCTGCACATTAGCATCAGCCGGAATAGCTTTGGTCCAGGGAGGGGTGTGTCTTAACAACTCCCCTTTGTCCTGCCTCATCCCAGCCATAAAAGGCCCTCTCCTCACTGCAGACATCCACCACAGAAGCACCGATCACAGCTGAGAAGATGACTGCCATGTACTGGACGACCACTGAGATCCAAGTCCTTCTGGAAGTCACACTCCAGTACAAAGAGGAGAAGTCCAGACAGAACATCGACTGGAGAAGCCACACCAGCACCTACCATGACATATGGAAGGCCTTTCTCCAAGTCTACCCAGTCAAGAGGGCTGAGGAGGGGGTGCTGCACTTCCCACATGACGTGGAGAGGATCAACAAAGCAAAAGTCATCTTCAAACTTGTGGTGAGTGTCGCAGGTTGCTTCTAAGAAATTCTGTTCAGATGTACTTGTTTTTGTTGTTCTTTTTCACTAAGCTGTACATGTTTGTACCTTGATGAGTCTGGCCTCCCATCCAAGTACTATCAGGCCTATCCCTCCTTAACTTTGAGGATTAGAAGTGATGACGACATGCAGACAGACATTCAATATCAAATGAAATACATTAGAATTCTTTCCACTTTGATTTAATGTAGTAATGTTCTAGCAGCAACTGTTAAAGTCAGAGTAAAGTTAAATCAACAATCTTTATGTCACCAGTCATGTTCAGTGTTTAATAATCTCTCATGTTAACTTTCAGGACATGAGGAGGAAATTCCACAAACAGATGGACACACGCAACATTTACTCTGGATTCTGGGACATCTGTGAGAAGATCTGGGGAGAAAAGGAGCCCTGTGATGTTCCTGCAGTGGAGCAAGCTCCAGTGGAGGAACAGGAGGGAGGAAGAGGAGGAAGACGACAAAGAGGAGGAAGACGATGAAGAGGACGGGGACAGTGAAGACACCTGCAGTGCCTGGGAGTCTGAAAGCAAAGACTGGAGCTCCACAGAGTCAGAGGACAAGATGGAGATGTTCAAACCACCGTGCAATAGGAGACTGTTTGAAGATGACGCATATGCTCAGGTAAATAGTCTTACAAGAAAACAAGGGCAGGGGACATATAAAAGAATTGTTTTGATTCCCTGTTTAATTGAACTGATACTAAACCAAAATTTCTCTTTTAGTTTGGCCACTTTTTAAGGGAGAGTGCAGAACGGTCAAGATTACATGAAGAGCGTATGCAAAATCAACAGGAACGACTCCTTGATCTTTTGGTGCTTTACATAAGAAAATCTGCACGATACAACGAGCACCAGAGATATGGTCCTTCTAAAGACATGGTCCCAATGCATTCAGAGCTCAGCCAACGGAGCCACGGAGAGGCTTGAATACAGCCTTTGAAATATGTTTCTGTCTTTGCACATTTATTTTGATACCAGCACTGTTGATTTGTGAACAAATTTGCTACTTTTACAATAAAAATATCTTTTGCATGCAAGAAATGGTTTCTGTGATTATTCTTTAAAGTTTATAGTTTATGTTGTGTGGATTTCCTCTAGAATTGTATCCCACAAATATTTACTTAGTCCATGAGAATCAGTTTCATCTCTTGTTTCTACTGCATGGATCCTTTGGCCTCTGTCACATCAGATCAGGTTTTTGAGCTCACTTCTCATTCTTTCTCTTTCTATGTAGGGCTCTACTTAATTCTGTAAACATGCCTTTTGGGAGTGGTAACTGTTTTAACTAAAAAGACCACTCTCCACCATTGCAAATACATTTGAAGTCAAGTCAAAAAATCAGACAGCAACATTTCGTCTTCTGATTAGAAAACATGCTGTAAATACTGCAATGCTTGCAGTATTTACTTTATTACAGAACTGAAGTTGGACAACATCACTGAACTAATCTTCATGTTGTTGTCCATCTATGTGAATTAGCATCTCATTGGACCAATGCAGTGACACACCTTGAGTGTCCTCCCCCACTGACCTGCACTAAACCTGTGCTGCACATTAGCACATCAGCCTGAATAGGGCTGGAAAGCGGAGGTGCGAGATTTTGCGAGATTTCCACCTGTGGATACAAACAAACCACACGTGCCAGTTGTATGGTGCGGAGATTTCCGGCTTCTTCCTCGTTAATGGACTTTCCTGTGTTATTTTGGACACATTTCGTCTCTGGGACAGAAAAACTGAGTGAACGGTCGGAATTAGCTGTGAACTGACCATGTGCTGACGTTTCCATATGACGGGGGAGAGGGCACAGGGCCGTGTTCAAACATACAGTCTATGGTTCAAACTCATTGTATTTTAATCCACTATCACGCATCAGAAAGAAAATATAGAAACACTATTCCTATGCAAATAAATTGATGTTGTCCCTTACAGCTATCTTTGCTGCTTTGGTTATAAGCCAATGTTTATGAATGATCAGTTTTCTATCTGTTCATCAGCTCCATCTCCACTTCGCACTCACTGCAGCTTCACATTGGGCCTTTTTCCTTTTTGCTGTGCTGTCAAAAATAATATGATGTAGTTGGGTTACCTATACATTTAATACGAATGATTGTCCGTTTTCTGTTATATTTGAACATTTGTTAAATGTTATTTAATACGTGTTAATATGTTCCTCCTTTATCTCTAAAATAAATAAATGTTTGAGAGACAATATTTATCCTGTGTAACATCAATAAAGTTTCTTATCTTAAAATACAAGCCACAATTAAAGGCTTGGCCGCGCACTATTACAGGTTAGCATTAGCTACAAGTTAGCTTGAATACATGTTCAAGTTAACTGTCTCTGAAATCAGACAAAATATTTTATCAGAACTGCATAGCTTTTCCCACAGCTTCAGTTGGTCTTTGGGAAACCTAAAGAATGAGCATGTGTCGCGTAAACTGTGATGATTACAGCCGAAAACAAAGCAGAGCATTATGCACCATTCACTTAAACCGCCTCTTCGAACAGCTGACGGTTTGTTTGTATCCGAGCAATGAACCGGAAGTGCTTCTGGGACGAGACTTTCCAGCCCTATACATAGTTCCCACAGACCAATGAATGTCACATGACCTCCTCGGAGACGCCATCTTTGATGGCACGCTGCTGTGTTTGTGCATTCCATTAAACAGAAGAATGAGAATAAATGTAGATATTCAAACGCAAATTGGAAAAAAAGGGCAACTTTTGAGCAAATAATTGTATATTAATACAATGGCACCACAGTTTAACGTGCTACGGACATGTTTTACATATTTGATCAAATTATGCAGCAAAAATTAACAAGCAATGCAAACATTTCTCAAAAACTTTAGATTTAATACCAGTTGGAGCTCCATTTAATTATTTTAATTATATTAACAATTAATTTAATTAATGCTAATGCCACACGGACACTCTGGATTGCTGTTATTGTTTATTTCCGCGTTTTTGACCGTATGTTTTGGTGAATGGTGGGCAACTGATTTTTCCAGGCGTAAAGAGCAGTTTATTTTATGACACAGATCTTTTTACAGAAGCAATGCTGTTTGTGAACATTGTTTTAGCCCACCATAGAACTATTATTATCTATTTAATACATTTACGTTGCCCTCGAGAGCCTCGGACGCGACTAAATATCTAAATAATGAAACTCTCAAGTTACCAGCTATCAGCATACACAAGTTAGTACTGAGTAAATTACGTCTGTCAACACATTATAAGATACGATACGCACCTGACACAAAGTGCTCCGAGCATATTCTTGCGTGTTTTGAGGGAGTTTCTTGCCTGTTTATCTTCGCAAGCCATAACCTCCATGGTTGTTCTGACAAAAGCTTAGTCTTCTCACATTCATGAAGTCTAATGATGGGTATACTGTAAAATCCAAGTTTAACGGAACCTCCGGCACGATTTGAACATCCATTGACCCAGCAGGAGATGACCATTTTCAACTTTATCACGACATTAACACGTTTCAGCTTCTTTTTCTATTGTTTTGCCCACAGCATGCCAACACAAATGGCGCCGGGTCGGCAAATCCCCGTATGTAGTGACGTCATGTGGGAACTATGTATAGCTTTGGTCCAGGGAGGGGTGTGTCTTAACACCTCTCCTGCTGCCCTCCCCTCCCAACAGAGCTACTGCAAGCCAAAAGATACATGCATTCGGAAGAAAGAACCAAACTGTTTTGAGAGAAAGTTAGTCATGAGAAAGTTTTTACTACATAGTTCAGAGCTGTAAATGTTGCCCCTTCAAAATCATATTAACAATATATATATATAATATATACAATATCGCCCCCCTTGAACCTTTCAACATTTCGCCACATTTCAGGCTTCAAAATTTAAAAAGTGGGACACAATCGTGAAGTGGAACGAAATTTATTGGATAATTTAAACTTTTACTCACTCCAGAAGTTCAGTGAGGATCTTTGAATGATCCAATGTTGTCCTAAATGACTGATGATGATAAATAGAATGCACCTGTGTGTAATCAAGTCTCCGTATAAATGCACCTGCTCTTTGATAGTCTCAGGGTTCTGTTTAAAGCGCAGAGAGAACCATGAAGACAAAGGAACAACCAGGCAGGTCCGAGATACTGTTGTGGAGAAGTTTAAAGCCGGATTTGGATACAAAAAGATTTCCCAAGCTTTAAACATCTCAAGGAGCACTGTGCAAGCAATTATATTGAAATGGAAGGAGTATCAGACCACTGAAAATCTACCAAGACCCGGCTGTCCCTCCAAACTTTCATCTCAAACAAGGAGAAGACTGATCAGCGATGCAGCCAAGAGGCCCATGATCACTCTGGATGAACTGCAGATAACTACAGCTGAGGTGGGAGAGTCTGTCCATAGGACAACAATCAGTCGTGCACTGCACAAATCTGGCCTTTATGGAAGAGTGGCAAGAAGAACGCCATTTCTCAAAGATATCCATAAAAAGTGTCGTTTAAAGTTTGCCACAAGCCACCTGGGAGACACACCAAACATGTGGAAGAAGGTGCTCTGGTAAGATGAAACCAAAATTGAACTTTTTGGCCACAATGTAAAACAATATGTTTGGCGTAAAAGCAACACAGCTCATCACCCTGAACACACCATCCCCACTGTCAAACATGGTGGTGGCAGCATCATGCTTTGGGCCTGCTTTTCTTCAGCAGGGACAGGGAAGATGGCTAAAATTGATGGGAAGATGGATGGAGCCAAATACAGGACCATTCTGGAAGAATGTTGGAGTCTAAGACCTGAGACTGGGACGGAGATTTATCTTCCAACAGGACAATGATCCAAAACATAAAGCCAAATCTACAATGGAATGGTTCACAAATAGACGTATCCAGGTGTTAGAATGGCCAAGTCAAAGTCCAGACCTGAATCCAATCGAGAATCTGTGGAAAGAGCTGAAGACTGCTGTTCACAAACGCTCTCCATCCAACCTCACTGAGCTCGAGCTGTTTTGCAAGGAAGAATGGGAAAGAATTCCAGTCTCTTGATGTGCAAAACTGATAGAGACATACCCCAAGCGACTTGCAGCTGTAATTGCAGCAAAAGGTGGCGCTACAAAGTATTAGCGCAAGGGGGCCGAATAATATTGCATGCCCCACTTTTCAGTTTTTTATTTGTTAAAAAAGTTTAAATTATCCAATAAATTTCGTTCCACTTCACGATTGTGTCCCACTTGTTGTTGATTCTTGACAAAAAATGTAATTTTTATATCTTTATGTTTGAAGCCTGAAATGTGGCGAAATGTTGAAAGGTTTAAGGGGGCAAATACTTTCGCAAGGCACTGTATAATATTATTTATACAGTATAATGTTTTACGGCTCAGAAAATTTAATTCATACAAAAAATCACTCTCCGCCATTGCCGATACATTTTAAGTCAAGTCAACAAATCATACAACAACATGCCATCTTCTTCTGATTAGAAAACATGCTGTATTTGACAAACTTGATCTGGCTTTAACGAAAAAGATCTGTTTGGGATGAGAGCTGATTGACTGAGTGGGGATTTCTGTCTGAAAAAACGGATGTGACAAAGGGTAAATAAATGAAGGATAGAAAACAACTGAATTTGGCTCTATCTAATGCAATTCTTGCAATATTGACTACAGAACTGGACTTGGACAACATTCATCTTCATGTTGTTTTTTATCTGTGTGAATTAGCCTGACTAGTAGTGATGGGATGAATATGCTTCAAGGAGTGAATTGACACTTTCTACAAACTGTAATGACACAGTGTTGACTCAAATGGCAATCTCTGCTGTAAATGTAAAATCATGGCAAGTAAACATGATGGAAACACGTGCATGCTGTAAACCCAAACCAAATGATTTGGCATGTAAAATATAGAAGATCCGTCTCGAATACTATTCAGAGTAAACGTTTTAAGTTATGTATGGGGTTTTGTTCAATCATATGAAATAACACACTCAAAATGTATTCAGTCATACATTTTGTGGTTTTGTGTTAAATCATATGAAATACAACACAAAAATATATCCAGTCTTCTTTTTTTTTAAAGAAACAATAGTTTTTGAAGAGTCTTTGCTCCAAGGCAATTTAGACACTAGTTCCCCAGCTTTAGAAAACAACTGTTCGATAAAGGTACAACAGGAAATTCTTTAATGAGCCCGCAGCATGTTGACACTGTTCGCTTCTTTAAAAACACAATTTGGTGCAGCACATCCAAACAACACAGTTCCTGTATCGGTCACGTGATTGTTTTGTTAAAGGAATACATGCACCAATACGGGGTTTCAGACATGAGCACTCGGGACACTGCTGACGCACCAATGTTATTTGTCTCATCTGTACAGAACAGCTTTGGTCCAGGGAGGGGTGTGTCTTAACACCTCTCCTGATGTGGTCCCCTCCCATCAAAGCTCCTACGAGCCAAAAGATGCATGCATTTGGAAAAAGAAGAAAGAACCAAACTGTTTTGAGAAAAAGTTAGTCATGATGAGATATATTTTATTACATAGTTTAAAGCTGTAAATGTTGCCCCATTAAAGTCATATTTACAAGAAACAAACCCTCCAAGGTCCTTGCCTGGTTTTCTTTGTGCATAATTGCTCATTAAACAGTCATCTTTTGATGCAGAGTCAAGCAGTATACTTTGTTTTTGTCAGTACAACCTGGGTTTTTTGAATATTCATATTGTAGAGCTGTCATATCAATTATATAAAAAATATGGAATCATGAAGACAAAGAAAAAAATGAAACGGAAAATCAGTTTAACAAAAATGTATTGAAAAAACACAATGAAATGCTCTAAACAACGTTTTTTTAACATAGAAATGTTATTTAGGGTCATGGGGATAATGGGGAAAAAATTAAACCTGTGACTATTATACTTTTTACAAAATTCCACTATAAAAGCCAAAACGCTGTACTCCTGATGCCCTTCCTGAAGCAGTTTTTCTATGTGAGGCTGGGGTTGCTTCATTATCACAGCTGTAAAATAGGTTAAAAAAAAGAAACTAAGACAAAAAATAAATAAAACATCTAATTTATATATATAAATACATTATATACACATAATATAATTTTACAGTATTTATTATTGTCTATATCAGCCATTCCCAAACTCAGTAACACCGAGGCCCCCTTAAAAATCTGACGGGTCTGCGTGGCCCCCCAAAATAATAACCAAGAAGACAACATTAAGAATAGGCTCTTCTGGTTATTTTATTTTGGGGAAATAGCCTCTGCTACAAACATTGTAATACAAAAATGATTACAGTGGATTATTCAAGTCAAATAATGAACACAAATATTTTAATATTACAAACAAAACATTATAAATTTAACATTAAATAATTATATATATATATATTTTTTTTTTATGACCTCCCGCGGCCCCCCTGCAGTACCCTCGCGGCCCACCAGGGGGCCGCGGACCCCACTTTGAGAGACACTGGTCTATATCAATGATGTGGACTCCTCTGAGCGCTGCTGCTTATGCTCCAACAAGTACTCACAGAGGACTGAGTCATCATATGCCTAGCGTACATCGGACTGGCAACTGATTATATCCGTCGCATATGAGTTGCTGCCCCGTACACATCGACAATCTGACGAAAACGGGCAACTCCCAGTAGCAGACCAGTCTCGGGAATAACAGCGCGTACATCGACAGCAACTGTCCGTCACCTACAGTGTGTTAGGGACATAAACTGTTGCGGGCGCGCAATACACGCAATACACACACGTTGTCGGAGCGGCGCATGGAGCGCGCACATCGGGTCATATCTCCGAAACTGAGTACAACTAGTTGCCAAAAAGTAGAACACGGGCAACTGACTGAAACTGGAGACCGACTGTTTATCTCCAGTTGTAAGAGCACGCACATCGACCGATTTTGGCAACTGATCATCTCCTCTCAGTTGCCAAAAGCCGCCTTGCAACTAGTTGTCTCCAGTTTCTCTGTCTAGGCTCTGTCGATCTTTGTGTGAGTCCCCGTGTGAGTAAAAAACCTTTCTGGCTCACGGGTCACTGCTCGAAGATCCGATTGGACACTGACTTCCATACACACGTAGATTAACCTGCGAACATCCCACAGACAAACCAGAGCTGTTTCCGTAATGCATGGGATGTTTACTTCACGGAGGGAAAAAAGTAAGTCACTATCTTTTACTGTTCGCAAGTAAATTGATCACTTGTAAAACATGTACGCATGTGCGTCTTTTAAGGGTTAAGGAACAAAATAATACTTGTTTCATTGAAATATCTTTTTATGGACAAATGACGTATTACTGTTTCTATGCTTGGAATGTATAACAATGTTTTTACTACCCAAAAAATTGAATTCATAATAGAGGCGGTTCTCCCTCAGCATATATGACATTTAAGCCTTATTGCCATAGTGTGGAACATTCCAGTGTATTGAATATGGACCCAAGATAAAAGTGGAACCTCCGTTAGTAAAGTTGTGTATTACAAATAGCAGTAAGAGAATTGAACTTAATTGCTATATCTGACCTAATTCACTAAACTAATCTTCATGTTGTTTTCCAACTGTGTGATTAATCATCTCCTTGGACCAATGCAGTGCGATGCAGTGACACACCTTCTCCACCTTACTCTTTCTATGCAGGGCTCTACTTATTTCTATAAACATGCCTATTCCAAAATACTTTCTTTTGGGAGTTTGGGACATATAAAATGTGTTATTGTAGGGGGAACAGTTTGGTAACTGCTTTAAGTTAAAAGATCACTCTCCACCATTGCAGATACATTTGAAGTCAAGTCAACAAATCAGACCACATGTCGTCTTCTGATTAAGAGCGACTAAACACCTGTGCCCAGATTTTTTTCCGCCCACATGGAGATTTGAAAATTGTCTCTTAAAAGGGCGTTGCCTGGAGGACCAAGGGACAAGAAGGGGGGCTTGGAGTTGGGTGTGGTCTGGGCTGTGATTGACAGCATACCAGTCACACACAAAAAAACAGTTCACATTGCTGCTGAAAGCAATAGTTTACACCAGAAAGTCTCATTCCACCCTTGTTTACACACTAAGATTATTGTAGAGCTACACACCTGAACCTAATCCACACAATTATCTCAGCAGCACTAGTTGTCAATTGAAGTAATTTCATTTTAAATCACTAGATGTCGCCAGAATAATCCCACCTGCTGCTGGGAGTTGGATGGGTTTATATCACTGGCGCAGACAGACGCACGTCACAGAAACCAACCGACGTAACAGAGAATTACAGAGTCAATGGAGAGGCCAGGACCAAATTCAAATGTAGTACCACCAAAAAAGGTAGAGGGCGCCACGTGTTTAGGCTCAAAAGTGAGATTTTATCTAATTTGAACTAAAATGTCAAAAAAAATGACCAGGATATGTAGAGAGCACTACAATAAACATATTTATGCAGTTTATGAGTTAAAAAAAAGTTGATTTGGTGTTTAGTCGCTTTTTAATTAGCAGGCGACATGTTTTCTGATTTATTGACTTGACTTCAAATGTATCTGCAATGGTGTAGAGTGATATTTTAACCAAACTGTTCCCAAACTGATAGATATTTGGTGTGATCAATCTCCATCTAATGTCATTGTTGCAATGATTTATAACACTGGGGCTAATTCATTTCCGTTATTTACTTTTTTACAGAACTGGAGTTTAACAACAACATTCTAAATCACTGAACTAATCTTCATGTTGTTGTCCATCTGTGTGATTTAGCATCTCATTGGACCAATGCAGTGACACACCTTGAGTGTCCTCCCCCACTGACCTGCACTATACCTGTGCTGCACATTAGCATCAGCCGGAATAGCTTTGGTCCAGGGAGGGGTGTGTCTTAACAACTCCCCTTTGTCCTGCCTCATCCCAGGCATAAAAGGCTCTCTCCTCACTGCAGACATCCACCACAGAAGCACCAATCACAGCTGAGAAGATGACTGCCATGTACTGGACCAACTCTGAGAGAAAAGTCCTTCTGGAAGTCATGCTCCAGTACAAAGAGGAGAAGTCCGGGCAGAACATCGACTGGAGAAGCCACACCAGCACCTACCACGACATATGGAAGGCCTTTCTCCAAGTCTACCCAGTCAAGAGGGCTGAGGCGGGGGTGAGGCACTTTCCTCATGATGTGGAGAAGATCAACAAGGCAATGATTATCTTCAAACTTACGGTAAGTGTTGCAGGTTACGGATCAGCATGGGAGAAACAAATGAAACATGACTGCCCTTTTAGTCTTGAAGTGACATTCCATTAACATCAAAACTTAATGTTAAGAATGTCTCATGGGCAATATGTAAAAATCTGGCCAAAAGTGGTATTGCAGTCAAAATCAATATTTTGTAGTCCTCTCCCACTCTCCCTCAGGTTGCCAGATACACAGGGAATTATTTTATCAGTTGTTTGTCTGTCTCTCACATTGCCATGATAGCCGTGCTAATGTTGAATGAATGCTTTATTTATTATATTTGGACATTTGAGATAAAAAAAAACAACAAAATAAAAGCAATGTAATTATACATAGATTGTGCAAAATAAATAAGCAATTGATGTCCAAAATAGGAGTGGGAAGAATGGATGTTGGAACATATTTCTTCAGCCTATCAACATCAGGGTTTCCTCCAGAGCAGCCATTCCCAAACTCAGTAACACCGAGGCCCCCTTAAAAATCTGACGGGTCTGCGTGGCCCCCCAAAATAATAAACAAGAAGACAACATTAAGAATAGGCTCTTCTGGTTATTTTATTTTGGGGAAATAGCCTCTGCTACAAACATTGTAATACAAAAATGATTACAGTGAATTATTCAAGTCAAATAATGAACACAAATATTTTAATATTACAAACAAAACATTATAAATTTAACATTAAATAATTATATTATTTTTTTTATGACCTCCCGCGGCCCCCCTGCAGTACCCTCGCGGCCCACCAGGGGGCCGCGGACCCCACTTTGGGAGACACTGCTCCAGAGGATATCATCATTTTATTTATCCCCTATTTTTTTATACATACATGTAAGTCCCACATCAAAAAGAGACTAACATTATTTTAATTGGGGTACATGTGGTCTCAAATGATTCTCTTTACAATAAAGATATAATTTGCATAAAACATTGATCTTTGTCTTTTACCGTTTTTTGAGCAACGTGTCAAAGAATGTGATATTATGCAATTAAACACAAACTGACCCTGTCCGGATTCGATGTCCCGGGTCGTCAGATTGTAAGCACAATGGCTTAACCACTAGACCACCATTTCACATGATAGAAGATGCTGGATACAGAATCAAATCAAAGCAGCAAGTTTTGCATCACACAAAGTTTTATCCGCTGTCTCAATTTTTCAAAGGCGTCTCTATATAAGTCCTCGTTTTAGTCTTTGTTTTGTCATTAATGATTTGAGAATCATAACAAGACCTTTTTTAGTTCTGCGGCCACATGTTATTTTACCAGTGAGATTAGCTAGCCGCGCGGAGTTCTGGCAACCCGATCACGGACTTTCATGGGATTTCCTGATTGGCAATACGGTGGAGGGCGGGACATCAAAATGAAAACAATAACAACTTTTAGGGTCATAAAACTAATTTTGATATTCAAATATCTCGGCTGAACTACTGTTATCAGTTAAAGATGTATTTGAAAGGAGTATGATTTAATAACACCTTTTGAAATATTGGGGCTATTTAATGACTTGATCTGCAATTACTACATAGTGCTACTTTAATGTTAAGAATCTCTCATGTGCCCTTTCAGGAGATGCAGAGAAGATTCCACAAATACGACTGTTGTTATCGATTTTGGTACATTGCTGGGAGAATCTGGAGTGAGGACGAGGTGGAGGATGAGCTCTGGGGAGAGTCTGAGAGCAGTGACTGGAGCTCCACAGAGTCAGAGGACTGTAAGGACACCAAGGCCCTCTCCTCACTGCAGACATCCACCACAGAAGCACCGATCACAGCTGAGAAGATGAATCTCATGTACTGGACCAACTCTGAGAGAAAAGTACTTTTGGAAGTCACGCTCCAGTACAAAGAGGAGAAGTCCAGACAGAACATCGAGTGGAGAAGCCACACCAGCACCTACCACGACATATGGAAGGCCTTTCTCCAAGTCTACCCAGTCAAGAGGGCTGAGGAGGGGGTGCTGCACTTTCCTCATGATGTGGAGAAGATCAACAAGGCAATGATTATCTTCAAACTTACGGTAAGTGTCGCAGGTTACGGATCAGCATGGGAGAAACAAATGAAACATGACTGCCCTTTTAGTCTTGAAGTGACATTCCATTAACAACAAAACTTAATGTTAAGAATGTCTCATGTGCACTTTCAGGACATGCGGAGAAGATTCCACAAATCCAACTTTTTTTATCGATTGTGGTTCATCTCTGAGAAGATCTGGAGCGAGAAGAAGCTCTGTGAAGAATCTGAAGACAGCGATGTTGTGGTGGAAAAGGATAAAGATGATGAAGTGGAGGAGAACATTAAAGACACCAAGGCTGCTTTGGAGTCTGAGAGCAGTGACTGGAGCTACACAGAGTCAGAGGACTGTAAAGACACCAAGGCCCTCTCCTCACTGCAGACATCCACCACAGAAGCACCATTCACAGCTGAGAAGATGACTGCCAAGTATTGGACCAACTCTGAGATCGAAGCCCTTCTGATGGTCACGGCCCAGTACAAGAATGAGAAGTCCAGGCAGAACATCGACTGGAGAAGCCACACCAGCACCTACCATGACATATGGAAGGCCTTTCTCCAAGTCTACCCAGTCGAGAGGGCTGAGAAGGGGGTGATGCACTTTCCTCATGATGTGGAGAAGATCAACAAGGCAATGATTATCTTCAAACTTACGGTAAGTGTCGCAGGCTACGGATCAGCATGGGAAAAACAAATGAGACGAGGCAGCCCTTTTAGTCTTGAAGTGACATTCCATCAACATCAAAACTTAATGTTAAGAATCTCTCATGTGCACTTTCAGGACATGCGGAGAAGATTCCAAAAATCCGACGAAATCCTGAAAAAATCCGATCGATTCGGGTACATCTCTGATTTCATCTGGGGCGCGGACTGGGGCGAGGACGAGGACTGGGACGAGGAGGAGGATGAGCTCTGGGGAGAATATGGAGAAGACAGCGAAGTAGTGGTGGAAGAGGAGGAAGATGAAGTGGAGGAGGACAGTAAAGACACCAAGGCTGCTTTGGAGTCCGAGAGCAGTGACTGGATCTTCACAGAGTCAGAGGACCAGGCGGAGACGTTAAAACCACCAAGCACAAGGAGACCGTTTGAAGATGACTTATATTATGCTCAGGTAAAGAGTCTTATAAGAAAACAAGGGCAGGGGACATTTAAAAGAATTGTTTAGATTTTCTGTTTCATGAAACTGATTCTAATCCAAGACTATATTTTCTTAAAGCTTGATCGGGCCTGGCCAAGGGAGAGTGCAGAGAGGTCCAGAAAAGAGCGTATAAAAAAGCACACGGAACAACTCCTTGATATTTTGGTGCGTGCTGGTGTACGTCAAACAGTACGAAAGATACAACGAGCACCAAAGATATAGTCCTTCTGAAGACACGGTCCTCCAGGACTGGTCCTTCTAAAGACATGGTCCCAATGCATTCAGAGCTCGGCCAACAGAGCCACAGAGAAGCTTGAACATAGACTTTGAAAGATATTTTTGTCTTTGCACATTTATTTTGATACCAGCACTGTTGATTTGCTACTTTTTTTTACAATAAAAATATATTTTGCATGAAAGGAATGGTTTCTGTGATTGTTCCTTTAAGTTTATAGTTGTTGTTTGGATCTCCTCTAGAATTGTATCCCACAAATATTTACTTACTCCATGAGAATCAGTTTCATCACTTGTTTCTTCTGCATGGATCCTTTGGCCTCTGTCACATCAGATCAGATGCCAGAGCAACTGTGCTGTAGTACAACATTCGGTCGCTAATACTAACTTCAGCGACTTCACTTCTGAGTTAAAGATGCAGTAAGCGATTTTGTTAGCTTAGCCATAGCACCAACGTGAAACCACTCCCCCCCTCCCCTCGCCTCTCCACCAAACCAAAACAACCGGCACACGTGAACGCGCATCTACACGTGACATCATCTGTCATCAATTGAACATGTCTCATTCTCCTGGTGAGCAGAGGAGTTGCGTATCGCGGCTGTGTACACAGCTGCAGAGTCGTGGCTGCTGCCGTCTCTGTGAGGTCTATGGAGAAGCGTAGAGGACAGTGTAATGTGTTCACTGACACTAAATGATCAGACCGATGGGCTGTGTTCGTACTGTGAGATTTCACAACACTTTTAAGCGACTTTTGTTAAAGTTAAACTCCTCATTCTATCAATGTGCAGAAGCCTGTACTTTTCCACTTCATGTTTTGTCTATCTGAAGGCCAAGCTACATGGCACCGTGGCAGCTGCTGATTGGAGGTCTCCATGCCTCTGTTCTGTATAATACACTTGCATTCTGTGTTCGTGTTGTTCGTGCTGTCTCTACCATCGACAATAAAACATGTCTTCTGTCGGAATTTAAGACGCTATCCCAGACATGTCATCTTCTTCAGTACGTTTACTCTGCACTCTGTCCTAATACAGTACAGAGGTGTTGCAGCAGCCGTTACTATTTGTCGGCTCGCGCGTATGTTAGTATTTGGGGCGTTAACAGGCAGTGATGGGAATGGGCAGAAGTCGGCTGCATACAATTCCATCGATAAGGTCCTTTCTCTTCCTGGTTTATCTGCTAAGGGCAGCAACAGGTTTGGCTGACATACATATAACACATTTTAAGATAATTTAAAATGTACTTAGGGTAATTTTTCAATGACTTTAGGAATGATAAGAAAGAGAGGTGAAGTGTAAGATGGTTGGTTTTAGAAATTGGATGCACCCGGCTGCAGCTAGCAAAACAGAGGAGTTTATGGAGGACACACGCGTTTTGTTTTACTTTTTAAAACTCATTGGACTCATTTCCAAATGGAGGATTACGTATCTACGCTCAAACTATTATCTGGACTTAAACATGGAACTGGTCTGAACCGAAGTGGACTGTGCAGGTCATTTATAAGGTAAGACCCATAACTCACAGTTTTGCGTTTTGTATGAACAAACAATGCGGGCATGAAACATATTTTGCTGTAGCCAAACAAACTGTCCACTTGATTTATATGATATGATATATGTTCATCTGATTGGGCTGAAGTCAGTGCTTCACCGGTGTTTCCACATTCACAGTGGAGCGTGTTGGTGTTTAGTGCTTACAGCACAGAGAGAGATGAAGAGTGAACAGGACTTCAGCAGCAAAACAGACTTTTCTAGATGGAAATATTGGCACTATTTAAACTCACTAAAGGTTAAAGGTAAAACTGCGCACGTCGAGTGCACATTATGTTCCAGAACAAAACGAAAAAGTAACGCAATAGTTACTTTTACTGGTAACTAGTTACTTTTACAGTGGAGTAACTCCGTTAGTAACTCAGTTACTTTTTGGGAGAAGTAACTAGTAACTATAACTAATTACTTTTTCAAAGTAACGTGCCCAACACTGTTCACAGGCAGTCCGTACAAAAAGTATTGACATGACAAAGTGCGGTAGAGCAGTAAAATCCACATGTATGTGTTTGTCCTCATGGTACCTGTGGCTGTTGTGGTCAGACGTGAGACTTTATGAACTGCGTGAAGACGAGAGACCTGCGCACGGCCGTTATGTGTGATGTCAGTGAAAATTACCTTGTGAATGCACTGCCAGATCTCAGATGTCCTCCGCGATTATCACACAATTCAGTCATGTTTAGAAAATCCAACTCAGGTGCGCGCAACTCGCGAGAAACCGGAAGGGCTAAGGGGGTAAACGCATCCCATTGGTTTATTTTTATCGGTCCGCTCCAAAGTATTATTTGTTAATATTTGGAGACAATAGGCATCTGGTCAATCTCCCTTACTATTTGAAAACACATGATTACTTGACTACTTTTAAGGTTTAGGGACGTTTTCCCACAATATTTAAAAAAATACATCTGGAAAAAAATCACTGACTGCATCTTTAAGTTTCTGTTTCTCTTCCTGTTTACACTGCTACTGTAGCTAATAGCTCGAGCATGGATCGCGTTGTTTAGGGAATGACACATCTTACACTTGTGCACATTGCTCTGATGCAAAGTGCAGCAGTTCAGTGGGTAACGTGTGTGCACATGTGTGTGCCTCGGACGCCTCTTTATTAATGAGCGTAAGCGCTGAGAAATGAATGAGAATTAAAGAATTCTCATTCATTCATGTGAATTAGCATCTCATTGGACCAATGCAGTGACACACCTTCTCCACCTTACTCTTTCTATGTAGAGCCCTATTGCAAATGTTTCTTTCAGGAGTTTGGGACATAAACATGTGATATTCATTGTTGGGGGAACAGTTTGGTAACTGCTTTAAGATAAAAGACCCAGCAGAAAGGACTTGTACACTTCTAACACTTGATTGTTACATGGTAACATTGCATGCTATAGTATCTAACATTTTAGTTACGAAAAAAATGTGAACTAAAACAGGAAAGATTGTGCATTGCACATATAACAGTATGAGAGTTAAAACGTAATTGCTATATCTGACCCAATTCTAAACTAAACTAATCTTCATGTTGTTGTCCATCTATGTGAATTAGCATCACATTGGGCCAATGCAGTGACACACCTTGAGTGTCCTCCCCCACTGACCTGCACAATACCTGTGCTGCACATTAGCACATCAGCCTGAATAGCTTTGGTCCAGGGAGGGGTTTTCACCTACCACGACATATGCACTTCCTTTCTGCAAGTCTACTCAGTCAAGAGGGCCGTTTCATGTTTCATTCCAAAAACAAAATTGCATCAAAAGTGTCTTAAAGTACAATTACCCAGAACAACATCATTTCCTGAGACTTATTATAGTTATTTCATTATGCAAGACAATACAGACACTTTTAAAATAATTATTTTGATTTTCTGTTTCATTGAACTAATACTAATCCAAGACTATCTTTTCTTTTAGCTTGACCGCTGTTCAAGGGAGAGTGCAGAAAGGTCCAGAATACATCAAGAGCATCTAGGAAAAAAACCAGGAAAAACTCCTTGATCTTTTGGTGCTTTACGTCAAACAATCTGCATGATACAACGAGCACCAGAGATATGGTCCTTCTGAAGACATGGTCCCTCAGGCCTGGTCCTTCTGAAGACATGGTCTCCATGCATTCAAATGGAGAAGCTTGAACATAGACTTTGTTTCTGTCTTTGCACATTAATTTTTAAACCAGCACTGTTGATTTGTGAACACATTTGCATTTTTTAATAAATCTTTGCATGCAAAACATGGTTTTTGTGATTATTTTTTAAGGTTTATAGTTTATGTAGTTTGGATTTCCTCTACAATTGAATCCCACAAATATTTGCTTACTCCATGAGATTCAGTTTCATCACTTGTTTCTACTGCATGGATCCTTTGGCCTCTGTCACATCAGATCAGGTTTTTCAGATCACTTCTCATTCTTTCTATACAGGGCTCTACGTATTTCTATAACCATGCCTATTCCAAAACACTGTTTCTTTTGGGAGTTTGGGACATACAACATGTGTTATTGACGGGGCCCACCAGGGGCCGCGGACCCCCCCTTTGTGAAGACACTCGGTCTATATCAATGATGTGTACTCCTCTGAGCGCTGCAGCGTATGCTCCAACAATACTCACAGAGGACTGAGTCATCATAGCCTAGCGTACATCGACTGGCAACTGATTATATCCGTCGCATATGAGTTGCTGCCCCGTACACATCGACAATCTGACGAACAAGGGCAACTCCCGTAGCAGACCATCTCGGAATAACAGCGCGTACATCGACAGCAACTGTCGTCACCTACAGTGGTGTTTAGGGACATAACGTTGCGGGCGCGCAAATACACGCAATACACACCACCGTTGTCAGCGGCGCATGAGCGCGCCACATCGGGTCATATCTCCGAAACTGAGAACAACTAGGTGCCAAAAAGTAGAACACGGGCAACTGACTGAAACTGGAGACCGACTGTTTATCTCCAGTTGTAAAAGCAACGCAATCGACCGATTTTGGCAACTGATCATCTCCTCTCAGTTGCCAAAAGCCGCCTTGCAACTAGTTGTCTCCAGTTTCTCTGTCCTAGGCTCTGTCCGATCTTTGTGTGAGTCCCCGTGTGAGTAAAAAAACCTTTCTGCTCACGGTCACTGCTCGAAGAATCCGATTGGACACTGACTTCCATACACACGTAATTAACATGCGAACATCCCACAGACAAACCAGAGCTGTTTCCGTAATGCATGGATGTTTTACTTCACGAGGGAAAAAAGTAAGTCACTATCTTTTACTGTCGCAAGTAAATGATCCACTTGTAAACATGGTACGCATGTGGCGTCTTTTAAGGGTTAAGAACAATATAATACTTGTTTCATTGAACATATCTTTTATGGACAAATGACGTATTACTGTTTCTTATGCTTGGAATGTATAACAATGTTTTACTACCCAAAAAATTTATTCATAATAGAGGCGGTTCTCCCTCAGCATAATGAACATTTAAGCCTTATTCTGCCATAGAGTGGAACATTTCATGTATTGAATATGACCCAAGATAAAAGTTCCTTTGGGAGTTTGGGACAATACAAAATGTGTTATTGTATCCAGGGGAATACTTTCATTTGGGTTTGGGTAACTGCAGTTTTAAGTAAACAAATTACTCTCCACCATTGCAGATAACATTTGAAGTCAAGTCAAACAAATCAGACCACCAGTCGTCTTCTGATTAAGAGCGACTAAACACCTGTGCCCCGAGTTTTTTTCGCCCACAATGGATTTGAAAATTGTCCTCTTAAAGGGCGTTGCCTGGAGACCAAGGGACAAGAGGGGGGCTTGAGTTTGGGTGTGGTCTGTCTTGAATTGAACACATACCAGTCACACACAATCAAAACAGTTCACATTGCTGCTGAAAGCAATAGTTTACACCAGAAAGTCTCATTCCACCCTTGTTTACACACTAAATTATTGTAGAGCTTCACACCTGAACCTAATCCACACAATTATACCCGAGCACTAGTTGTCAATTGAAGTAAATTTCATTTAAATCACTAGATGTCGCCAGAATAACCCACCTGCTGCTTGGAGTTGGATGGTTTATATCACTGGCGCAGACAGACGCACGTCACAGAAACCAGACCGACGTAACAGAAATTACAGAGCAATGGAGAGGCCAGACCAAATTCAAATGTAGTAACCACCAAAAAAGTAGAGGGCGCCACGTGTTTAGGCCTCAAAAACATTTGACGTCAAGTCAACAAATCAGACAACAACATGTCGTCTTCTTCTTATTAGAAAACATGTATTATTTTGCAAACTTGATCTGACTGTAACAAAAAGATCTGTTTGGGATGAGAGAGTGGGGATTTCTGTCTAAAAAAGGGATGTGACAAAGGGTAAAACATAAAGACAGGTCAAAATGAAGGACACAACTGTTTTGAGAGCAAAGAACGAGTTAGATGGATTTTCTAACTTACAGTTTTTGGTGTGATCAATCTCAATGTGGCTGAATTTGGATTATCTGATGCAAATATAGATAATATTGATTTTATTATAGAACTGGAGTTGGACAACATTCTAAATCACTGAACTAATCTTCATGTTGTTGTCCATCTATGTGAATTAGCATCTCATTGGACCAATGCAGTGACACACCTTGAGTGTCCTCCCCCACTGACCTGCACTATACCTGTGCTGCACATTAGCACATCAGCCTGAATAGCTTTGGTCCAGGGGGTGTCTTGAGCACCTCCCCTTTGTCCTGCCTCATCATTGCAGACGTCGACCACAGAAGCACCAATCACAGCTGAGAAGATGACTGCCATGTACTGGACCACCACTGAGATCCAAGTCCTTCTGACTCAAGTACAAAGTGGAGAAGTCCAGTCAGAACATCGACTGGAGAAGCCACACAAGCACCTACCATGACATATGGAAGGCCTTTCTCCAAGTCTACCCAGTCAAGAGGGCTGAGGAGGGGGTGATGCACTTCCCACATGACGTGGACATGATTAACAAAGCAAAAGTCATATTCAGACTTATGGTGAGTGTCGCAGGTTACTGCTCATTAGATACAAAGTAGAATCCTTTGCTCATTCAAAATAAAATTGCTCTTTGGTCTACTGTAAGAGTGACCTTTGCAGATGTAATGCTCTATAAATAACTCAAATCTGGATTGGAATTGACCTGTAAGTGAAATCCTGAATACACTGTCTGTATATAATATTTAATGTTCAGTAAAAAGTGCTGTCTCAATAGCTTCTTATGAACTTTCAGGACATGGGGGGGAGTTCCCACAGGCAGTTGGACAATTTTTACTCTCGATTGTGGGTCATCTGTGAGAAGATCTGGGATGAGAAGGAGCCCTCTGAAGAAAATGGAGAGGACCAAGATGTAGTTGTGGTAGAGGATGAGCTCCACAGAGTCAGACAACGAGACAGAGACGCTCACACCACCGTGCAAGAGGAGACCCTTCGCACTGGTATAAACATTTGATAAAGGGGATGGGTGATACTAATACAATACATTATTTTCTTGAAAATAACAATCTCAGAGTCAATGAAACAGTTTACAAACCAAAACAGTTTTTTTCCTTTTAGCATCAACAAGATTAAACAGTGAATGAAGAGAGTTCTACATCATTAATTGACCCTTATCACCCAGGCATGGCCCTTCACTCTCCAACACATGGCCCCCCAGGCCTGGTCTTTTTCCTGGACCTAAACAGCTGAGTATGTACCAGCTGTCAACCCAGCCCAAAACTGGATTATCTCAAGACAAGAGCATCCAGTGCTCTCAACTGGACAAATGGTTCAAATCTTGGTTGCGATTCCAGCTTATTGTCTTTTAATGTGAGAAAAGAAAAGGTAGTTAACCGGAAAAGGGTTACAAATGTTGAATATATCTTTCACAACCTCACATAATTCAGACACATTAATGTTGTATGCACATGTAACTTACCTTGATAAGAATAATATTCCTTTGTTTTTAACACTGGATTTACACTCTAGGATTAAGGGTATAATTTATTGTTTGTCCCCATAGGAAAATGTATCCTCTACATTTGCCAGTACTGCAAACTTCAGGAACAGAGGTTGGTACAGTTCACAAGGAGAAACCTGGAATCAGTTTTATCTCAGCCATTTCAAATTGCAGAAAGCGTGAATGGTCGAGGGGGGTTTGGGAAGTTTATAAGCATTTGCTTCCTCCAACAACCAACATCATCTATGAATACATAATTTTGTTGTTCTAGTTGTATGTCCACTTGCAATGGTTTGTTTGAACTATTAATTTCAGACTATAACAAACAAAAGTCCTAAAAAAACAAGCAAAGAAACATAAACAATCACACAAGGTATTAGAATCATAAATAATCACAGTGCATAAAAAAAGGAGATACAATCGTTCAGTTGTATCCAGAATCGATTCACAACATTAAATCGAACCAATTACTGAATGGTTACATCATAGACATATATAGTAGACGCCGCATTGGCCGCTCGAGAACGAGAAATATGGCCACCATCTTGGAGGACTGTGCGGAGTATTGCCGTCAAAATAGGCGGACTATTCAGAACAGGGCTCGGGAAATACTTTTCACAAGTAAGTTTGACCGTTATTGTTGATAGTAGTTTGTGAATAAATTATTACCAAACTGTATTTATGTCACCAACGAAATCAGACCCATAATATCTGAGCATTGAATAGCAGACAGGCTAAGTCAAAATTTCAGCAGCTTTGGTTCACTGTCAAAATACCAGTTTTGTTGAAGAAAGGTTCAAACAGATTCGTATGAGAAAAATAGGAAGAAGCAAGTAAGAATAATAGGAAATATGAAGATAGGAAATGTATATACGTTGTTTTAATTTTCCAACGCAGTAAAAAGATTGAGTTTAGTACTTTTACTGCCACTAACTGCTTAGTGTATACACATGGCTCTATCATTTATTAGTGTATGGGCTTTATCATATTTTAGTGTTTATACAGGGTTCTTTCATATATTAGTGTATGGACTCATCATATATTAATGAATATAGGTTCTATCATTTATCAGTATATATACAGGGCTCTATAATAGTGTATATACCGTATTCTAAAATAATAATTCAAGCACAAGTGGTTGCGCTCACACCGACAAAGTCCTTGATAACCGACCGATATTCCAGTTCGTTCCCCTCAGACACACAGCCCACGATGGCGGAGTCGTCGGAGATTACCACCATTACCACATACCAAATATATTGGTATGTGTGTATATATATATATATATATATATATATATATGGTTCTATCATAGTGTTTATACAGGCTTCTATCATATATTTGTGTATATGAAGGATAAAGATCGTATATTACTATTAGTGTATAACTGTTTACTTGTTACATCATTTTCCACACATTTCACCTGAAAGTCAAATGTCCTTAACTTTTGTACGTACACAACATTGTGTGTTTTGCAAAAATACCTATCATACATTACATAATCATATATCAGAACATTATATTACTGTTAAACCCACTATGAATAATAATAGACGCCAAACCATGTATCCTGTATCATAGCTGTATGTGTGACGTTTACAGTAAAGAAAAAAGTGTGAAAATCGGTAAAGTATTCAGTGAGTTATGATTGATTAAATGCGCTGACTCGTCACTGTGCCTGCTAAACAGATTACACTGAAAGGAGTGGGCGACCAGTCCAAGATGGCAACGCCACGGCTCGTCAGCGCCAATAGACAGTAGCTGTAGATGCGGCGTCTACTCTATATATGTCTATGGGTTAAATCCTTACAAAGGAAGATCACTGCCCACTGGTTGCTGGAAAAGTATAGCATGCCTGGATAAAGTCTGAGCACCTCTGCTATTAAGCACTTATGTATTTAGATAAAAGGTTTTAGTCTAGTTCATTTTATTAGCCTCCTATACCTATCAAGCTCTGAGTGTTTTTCTGAATCCAAACAGTCTTCCCCCACTCTCCCGTTAAAACCTGCTCAAACACATGACATGAATCTCTCCTTGTGGACCACAGGCGACCATTTATAAACGTCCCAATCTAGATTTGAACCTTTAACGTCAAGGCCACAGGAATGTTTCTCTGCATGGTAACTCCAAACTTTGAAAAGTCGGAGCAACAATCGGCCATTCTATGAGCAGCCGCGTGCCCACAAACACGGCAGGAATCTGGAGAGGGCAAATAGGGTAGTTTTCCCCCCACTGCAATTATGTAAGAACCAGGATGAACCCACAACACGGCATGAGGAAGTCAACGGCAAACAAAACAAACAAAAACTGTAGATGTAGTATTTTCTCATTGGGTTGTTTACATTCATTTCTGGGTTTCCGCTGTGTTTCTTTACTGATGCAGGAGGGTCTAAGGACAGTGATGATCCAGGACTTTTAGGGACATTCACTTTACATCATCTGTCATGCTGTTCCCAATGCCTCCAATGTTTTTTTATTTTTATTATTGTATTTCCTGTGTTCAAACTACTCGATTCTCTGATCTGTTGTTGCGGAATCGACAACTTTGTAATGTCCTCCAAGACGACTGCTATTGTGATTTATTGTAATCATGTGTTTCAACTTCCAAACTTATACTATCTAATAAATAATACATTATGTTTTTTCTAACAATAAGAGTCTAGTAATAAGAATCATTTTGTAAAAAGACCACAACATTTTGTCAAGAAATCTTGTTGTCTTTTGCATACTTGTGAACAAGAACCCTTCGAGTCACTATTTGACTCTTTGGGTTGAGAGCTGAGAGTGGTTTTCTCTTGGAACTTTTGCAGAGCCAAAAATTACAAACTTGTGAAAACTGTTAGAGAGTTAGGAACTAGTTAGTTGTCTCAGATGAAAATAAGTGTGGATTGAAAGTTAGGTACCCCAGCTTTACAAGATACTATGACATTTTGTTATGAATAGTTAAACACTTCTGCAACATAGTCGTGTAAAGCGACAGAACTTGAATGCTGCAGTGAGTCAATTGTTATCAAGTCAAAACCACTTCCTCAAGACTAGACTTCCACCGGGCGGCACAGTGGCTGAGTGGATAGCACTCTCGCCTCTCAGCAAGAAGGTCCTGGGTTCGAATCCCGGTCGGACCAGGGCCTTTCTGAGTGGAGTTTGCATGTTCTCCCCGTGTCTGCGTAGGTTTCCTCCGGGTACTCCGGTTTCCCCTACCACTAAAAATATGTCCAATAGTTCTGGCATGCGCCTCCTGTACTGGTGACCCCGCTCCCATCTCTGTGTGGAGTGAGAGACAAATGCCCAAAATTAACAATTGTAAACCGCTTTGAGACTCAGATCTGCAGTGAAAAGGCGGTATATAAATAAAAACTTACTTACTTACTAAAGAAGGCCTCTGCCTGTTCTAGACTGATACCCATGGTTAATTTATTATTCAGTGCATTTGAAATATCAATATTGATCCAAAACAATGTATGAAAATAGATAAGCCTGCACACTTTTGTAATTTGTCCCACAGCTCTCACATGCAGAGAAAGCCGATTATCCGATTGTCATCATATCATTGAAAATTATCAGAAAGTCCTGAAGCCATGACTGCTGTTATGAGCATACATACGGCTATACAAAAATAAATGTAAACCTTTATACATATTTGTTTATCCATATATGTTATACTAAAAGCTGTGATAACAATTTTTTTACTTTTCTGTTTCATAAATAATACATTTTGTTTTTTGATCTTTTGTGTCTTGATTTTTTATATATTTTTTATATTTTTTACAAATGACACCCCAACATGCTATTGTCATCAAGCCATGAGAGTCACTATTTGACACTTTGGGCGGAGAGCTGGAATGGAGTGGTCCTCTCATCTTTACTTTTCTGTCTAAAGAAGCTGATCGTCTGATAAAAATACATTCATGTGAAAACTTAACTGATAGAACCCAACGGTTTTGAGAGCTAATCCAGCAATGGATTTTATTACATTGTACAAATGTTTGTGGTTTCAAAGTTATGTCCACCATCTTTAAGTGCCCAATCTAATGCATCATGTGTTTTAAATGTGGACTTTTCTCTCCGAGGTCCAGTCTGGTTACACAGAGGGAGATTCCTGGTGACTCACTTTCTCCAGCGCCCTCAGCCTCCTGCTTATAGAACATTTACTGCCTCGCACTGCCCTATGGTCTGTTTGCACCATACACACACACACAGGCACAGACACACACACCCACACACACACACAGGCACACACAAACACACACGAGTCCCAGTCACAAGTTGAAAATTGCTGTTTATGTCTCTGCATTTGCTAGTCCCTCTGTAAACTAACTTTTTTGTGCTGCATGGGAACTGTACTAGTAGTGGCTAATGCTAGTAATAAATCTAACTAATTACTGAATAAAACCGAGGGTATGAAACTGTCAAACCACTACATTATAAAAATCATGTAACTACGGTAGTTATTGGCTCCTGGCTGGTTCCATCAAACACATCTATTGTCGGTCTGTATCAGCTTTTTCAAACAGACAAGTGAAGAAGTAAGTAAGTAAGATTTGGCGCATTTACAGACCAAGGTCACTCAAAGCACTTTACAATTGTTCAGAGTTCAGATAGTAATGGTAAATAGTAAAAAGAAAGGGCCACTTCCAACTCAGCCATTCAGCCCTCAACCCAAAGCGTATAGTGACTCACAGGGTTCTTTCGCACAAGAATGCACAACAGAAAATGTTGTGGGCTCTTTCTGTTGGATAAAAAACAAAATATATAAACGTTCTGTTGTGTCTTTAATTATATATAAAGCACTTTCTTTGATAAATACATTAGAATAGCATATTACAGTAACACAATGCAGCCTCAGCTCTATATAGGCCGTGGTGTGAGAAAAGAGGCCTCAGAGGAGAGAGCAGGGTCTGGGGATGTAACAATATCTACTGGTTTACCACAGCTAAAGCCCTATGGTCACATGTTCATAGTCCATCCATCCATCCATTTTCTTCCGCTTTATCCGTTGCCGGGTCGCGGGGGCAGCAGTCTAAGCAGAGACGCCCAGAATTCCCTATCCACACACACTTCCTCCAGCTCGTCCGGGGGGAACCCAAGGCGTTCCCAGGCCAGCTGAGAGTAGTCTCTCCAGCGTGTCCTGGGTCTTCCCCGGGTCTATGTTCATAGTCATATTGTAGTATTGAGGCTGATGATAATAAAGAAAAGAAACCTGGACATTTCTCTTTGTCACTGTGTGAGGATAAAAGTCATATTGACCTTCTGACTGCATGTATAGGTGGAAGTGTGAATGAGGAAGTCTGGGCGTCTCTGCTTATAGGCAACCGATTAAGCAGAAGATGAAAGATGAAGGGACATATCAATAAAATTCTAATTCTGTTTGTGTTATAAAAGTCTTGTGAGCGGTTTTAGCTTATGTCCCTGGTCAAGTAATCACAAAACTCTACTACTTAAAGCAGTCCACTTCTAATATAAAGTCTATGATGAAAACAAAACCTCTTTTAAATGCCCTCTGTGCAGTCTGTTGTTAAAGTGTCTGTTACCAGGGCGATGCTTTCAAGTCATACATCCCATAATAACAGTTCCTAGAATGGAGCTTCCTCATTGGATGTTGGTCTGTGATGACAATAGCATAGGGGAAGTTTGTAACCATAAACTGACTCACTCCGTTGAACGTGTGTCTCTATAGCAACAAGAAAAATACATAATGTTATTTGCATTTGTTAAGTAATATAAAAGAGAGACATATGCAACTGAGGCCTTAACTAGGAGACCCAATTCATCAATATCAACATTTTTGCTATTATTATTATTTCCTTAAGTTCTTAGCAAACAAAAAGGAACAATAAATGTGTTTTGTATAGACCTGAATCACAAAAGCAGACAAAGTTGTCAATTTGCCAACCACAGATCAGAGAATCAAACAGTTCGAACACAGGAAATGCAAAAATAAGAAACACATAAGAGCCATTGGTCCAAAAGGGGCGAGATGACCACTGTCCATAAATGTCAATAAATGTCCATAAATGTACTGGATAATTTTCCTTCTTAGAATGCAAACTTGTTTTTTGCTCTATCCAATATAAACAACAATCACGTTGCTCCGCCCCTTCTGTGCAAACGCTCCTTGTCTCAAACTTGGTGCTTGGAATTGTCAGACAATGGCATCATGGAGAGGGCCCTTTTCAAATCGATGTAGCCATGATCACAACAGCATTCTCCTCAAAATCAATGCCATTTCTATATTTCTCATTTGTAGCCATAGATTTACCACTGAAGAAATTATTTCACTTTCTACAACATAATCCTGTAGTTCTTTCAGCCATTTTGGATTTTGTTTGGATCCCATGTACAGTTTAGCTTTACACAAAATCCAGACTGACTTATTATACAACCCAGATAAGTATTAAGAAACCCATGGATGGAGGGGAATTCTGGCATATTCCTCCACTGTAGTTATTCAAGTCCAGCTTTGACGTTTGAACAAATCAAGTTATGACATTTGGAAAACAAGCCCTCGAGTTCATAATCCCAGATCTATTCAATAAAGCCATTAATAGGCCGGAAAAAGCACAAGACGCTGTTAGCAAGTTGGCAATGCATGACAAAACCAGAGAACAACTGTTCCATTAAAGACTTAAACTTGACTTGATTCACTTTAAAATAGCTCAGTAAATGTTTGGGGCATCTGGAAACTCTCTGCAATCCAACTTACAGAACCTATTCCATGCCAGAGAAGCTCACCAAAGCCCTGTTCATACTGGACCAAACCAGATTTATACATACAATTATTATTGCACATTCTTGCCTTAGAATTATTGAGATTAAGAGATCCTCGATTCGACCCACAGTGGGGAAATTTCAGTGTTGCATCACCGGTTACAGAACAGTAGGAATAAGCAGACAGCACAAGGTAAATGGACACAGCTCAATACTAAATTACTCCATGCTTAACTCGCAAAAGACAAAAAGACATCTCTAGCTTTAGCATTAAAAGGAGGCTGTCTATAATCTATAATAAGAAGAATGAAGAGCAAAATCTCTCATAGAAAAGAAGCAAGTATATTTCTTGTATAATATTGTAATGTTATTGCTGCTTTCCCAAGTGACTCATAATTGGTCCATTTAAAGTGAACCATATGAACAAGTGCGAATGATTAAAAAGAGAACATATGTTTTTGCATGTGAAAAATGGACAGTGGAAGCTCATCAGATTTTTTTAAAGGCCACAAGTGAAATAGTTCTGCAAAATAGTTTTACAACCAAATCTAGATGGCACCATTAAGAGCCTAAATGACTGCAATCCACTACAGAGGGAAAAGTGGTCACTTCATGGCTATTGTGTGAAAAGAATAGAAATTATTTAAAACTATATTACACAGTCGATTGTACTGTATAAGGCAAGGCAAGTTTATTTGTATAGAACAATTCATACACACGGCAACTCAAAGTGCTGAACAGAATAACATAGAAACAATCACACAAGGCCATAAAATCATACTTTTTTGAGTTAACTAAAAAGCAAGGTGTATGCACAGCTAAACAGAACCGTTTAAACCACACTGTAGGAGAAGAAGCCTGTCTCACATCTTCAGGAAGACTGTTCAAGAGTCTAGCACTGCATTCTATAACTGCACAACTAAATATGTGGGTAATCAATTAAAACTAGGGTACCTAAAGTTAATAGATAAGTTTTTTGCCCAAACAGAAAGAGTGATATCATGTGAACAAAGAACACTCCAAGCTGACTTTAGCACCATTTCCACCAGCCATTTGGCTTTAACCTACTTGTAGTGTTTCAATTATGCTCTGGTACAGCGACCTAGCAACCTGCCCACAATAAACCACTATCTGGGGACATTCCTTGGTAACCATGGCTTCCAGCAGCATTCTGGGCAATCATTGTCAGTTTGAACACTTTAGTACCGGCTTGGCCTGGATAGAACAAGGGCCTAGGTTCTTGCTAGAATTTTTTTATTGTTTTTTTTTTTTACACTTTAGGCTGAGAGCTGATTGGCTGAGTGAAAGTGGTACTCCCATTTCCACTTTTCTGACTGAAAAAATTGAACAAAGATTAGATTGAAGTCAAAAACTAGTGATAGAATCAAACTGTTTTGAGAAAATGTCATTAAACAGCTTTTATAACGTATTTCCATTTAGAGGTGTGAAATGTAGGTACCCCAGCTTTAAATCCCAGCAACATGACTCAGAAATCCGCTATTTAATATCGGGAGGAGGCGTGCGCAAACTTTGTCCATGTAAGGCAGCTGTTTTTGCACTTCACAACTGAACACAAGTATTTTCTGTTGTCAAAAATGACCAGATGACATGCCAAAACAACGCTTGGCAGTGGTGGACTGACCAGCCAAGCGTAAATAATAAGCAAAACTCCATAACGTGGTAATTACACTTAGCCCACGCGCTTTTTTGCAATCTGTGCTAAGCTAGCGGAGAAGAGGCGATGTCCTTCCTACCTGATAGTAGCGGTGCTTTCGTGGGCTGTAGGGTAAGCTGTGTGTCGAGTCAGTGCAGAGCAGAGAGCCGCAGAGTAATAAGCCAAGAAGAGAAGAGACACTCCCCGTTATGGCTCTGCCCCCTGGATCCACGCAGTGCCCTCCGGTCGCAGCCTCTCCTCACAGCCGCAAGAGGCGCAGCGAACGCGGGTCCATGGCTCTGCAGAGGCGAGCACGGAAAAGAGCGCTCTGTCGCCCTCTAGTGGTGAAAGTGGGGTATTGTCTGTAATAGAGGGAGCAAAAAAGTAGATTTGAGATCCTTTATTCGTCCCACAGAAGAGACGTTCCAGTGTAGCATCACAAGTGACAGAACCGTAGGAATGAGGAGCACACAGCACAAGATAAATAATTAATAACTCTACTCTAAAATCTCTAAAAGGAAGTAATATAATTTCTATCTTTAGCATAATAAGGAAATAAGTCTGAAATCTACAACATTGGCATAATGAAGAAGCAAGACTTAAGTACGAAAACTCCCGACTTTAGCATAATAAGGAGCAAGTATAAAATGTGGTATTTTCTAGTGCAAGTAATATATAGTTGTGTGTATGCGTCTGTACTTGTTACCAGCATGAGGGTAGAGGGCAAAGTGATTCAGTAAAAGGACAGTAACACGTGGGGTTCTATGTTAGATTAGATTAGAATAGATTCAACCTTATTTTCATTACAATGTTCAATACAAGGTAACAAAATGGAGTCTAACAGCGCAACTAGCAGATTATATTTACAACACAAATACATATGCATTTATGTGGGACTGTACCAAGCTGCTATTGTTAATATATACTCTAATTACATTATATTACATTAATTTGTTCGTCTGGCGTGCTTTAACAGTGTGTCTTAGGTACTAAAAATTTTCAAAACACAAAAAATATTACTTTATAATGATCCATCTCCCAACATCTGTCGTTTTTCAACAACTGTCTCATCTTTGGATCAGCTTAGACAGATAAATATAAAAGAGAAGACCACCTTCACCAAAAATATTACAGGTCTAAGCGTAAAATCGTGACTCACAACTTGTTCTTTCAGCTCTGCAAAAACTGACATGTTTTCTGATGAGACTGGTGGTCTGATTTGTTCACTGAATTTAACATTTACAAAGACTCTTTCATTCAAAACCACCGTTTGTTTTTGTTTGTATAAATATGCAAAATCCATTAAACTCGTTCATCAGAAAAAAATATATGAATAGTTTTTGCATGCATGCATCATGAATAAGATAATAACATCATGTTAAAAGAAGAAAAAAATCATCCACAGATTTTAAAGATGAGGAACAAACAAACATGGAGCCAAAACACTGGATGTTTTGGCTCCATGTTTCTTCTCTGCTTCAATTATTTTTGGTTGTCAATTAATTAGCAGTAACTGAAGCAGCTTTCACAGAAAATGGCAAATATGTTTTGCCAAATTTAGATATAATACAGTACATATCGACTTCCCAGTGTGGCCCCCGGAGAAAGCAATTTTACACCTCCGGCAAAAGCCTATGAAAAACAGTATAGGGAATTGAAGTACAAGCGTTTTTCTTAAATAAAATGTAAAAAGGAAAATAAAATTTATTTTAAAAATCTTTTTTTACATTTTACATTCTTTCTGTTGGAAAAAACAAAACAGGTCATAAAAAGTAAAAAGTAGGTATCCCAGCTCTAAAGCAACCATTCAACGCATATTTGTTTTTGTATATATAATTATGTATTATTAATAGCAATGCATCTGTATTATGCATCACTTTTTTGGACAATCAAAGAAGCTTCACATATTAGTTTTCTGTCACTCCAAACACGGTGGTGATAAACTACTACTGCAGCACTGACAGAAGCAAGGCAACCAGTATGCGCCATCAGCCTCCTGACCACCACCAACCATTCACACACACACCAGACTCATTCTGGGTGAAGTGTCTTGCCTAAGGACACAGCCACAGTTTGTTACTTTACAGCAGCAGCCGCCCCACTGTGGCACCTGGTGTTGTAAAAAAACTAGTTCCTGGCTTCTGGTTCCATCACTGGTTTTTGAAAACATGCATTCTTACCTTGCATCAGCTTTTTTCATAATGTCAAATGAAAAAGTTAACTTTAGTAAATGTTTATTTAAATTATTTATCTTTTTTCTACTTTCTATGTATCTAATCTGCACCATTAATGCAAATTCCTATTGTTACTTACAGAAAATGGCAATAAAAAGGACTGTAAAAAATGCAACAACTGTTAAAGAATACAAAATAAACAAAAAGTATAGTAGCAGAATGTAGCAGTTATCCTATACTGAAATATTCTCCAGGTTTTACTGTTTTCCCAGGAAGAACCACAAGACAATCTAGTAAGTAAGTAAGTAAGTAGTAATCTTTATTTATCTACCGCCTTTCACAGACCAGAGTCACAAAGCGGTTTACAATTGTAATTTTTTGGGCACTTGTCCTCTCACTCCACACAGAGATGGAAGCGGGGTCGCCGAACAGGAGGCGCATGCCAGACATATTTTTTGTGGTAGGGGAAACCGGAGTACCCGGAGGAAACCAACGCAGACACGGGGAGAACATGCAAACTCCACTCAGAAAGGCCCTGGCCCTGGTCCCAGGATTCGAACCCAGGACCTTCTTGCTGAGAGGCGAGAGTGCTATCCACTTAGCCACCGTCCATCTCCATGGAAACAAGAAAGTGACAAGGTAATAACAAGCATTTCTTGTTTTCTTTTATCAAAACCTGAGAAACAGAACAAAGAAAAGATAAATAAAGAGGCGCAGGACCGTTCTCCTGACAAGCAGACAAGCAGACTAGAAAACTGTAATCCACATTTATATACTAGTAATTTTCACATTTTGCTTTTTCAAAAATCATTTGTTTGTTCCTGGCCCTATAAATATTGTATTACATGTAAATAACATAAATAACCTAAACAGAATACAATTTTTAATGTATTTTAAAAATGTGTATATTGTCATTGTTTAGAATTTTAATGCCATGTGCGATTCCTCTGTTAGCCACTGTGAGTAGCTTTGTGTGTCAGAATCAGAATCAGAACCACTAAAAACATGTACAGGTGAATGAGTGTGTGTTTGTGAGAGCGAATGTGGGACAACGGATGCAAAATAGCCTATGGCTACAATTCGGAGTGATGTGTTCATTAACATGTACTGTCCCAAACAAATAAACAATATAAATAAATAAAATCAGAATCCTTTTATTGCCATGTAAGTAACAAAAAAGTCACAAACTAGGAAATAGCTTTGGCTCTCAGTGCAGACAAGTTAAAGCAGAATCAAATCAAAAAGGCATTTCTTCAGTTTGCTATACAAGTGGCCGTAAAGAGGCCGTAAAGAGTGCGGTAGAGTGCAGTAAGTGACAGTAGTGACAGCCAGTGATGTTTTATGAAGTGTTCATGAGTCCAACAGCAGAGGGGAAGAAACTGTTCTTATGGCGAGAGGTTCTGGTCCTGATGGATGTGGACCGGAGTAGTTGGAATCCATGAGGAGGTGACAGGGTTCAGCAGTGATACGACCAGCCCGCCCTCAAGCTCAGGCGACGTACAGGTCCTGCAGTGATGGCAGGCTGCGGCCAATCACCTTCTCTGCAGGACTGTGCCATACAAATACACTTACCTTGATGATAATGTTGGCGTAGCCCACAATAATAATATTTATAGACTTTTGCAATTGCATCTATTTGTTATTCTTACACCAAGATTCCCTGCCATCAAAATAGGCTAATTCTTTAGGCGTCAAGGCAAAATGTTCGGGCTGTTGTGAGATTACAAGAGGAAAAAGTGCATATGGGATCAAATGCAGTAGAATGTTCGAGGATCCGTGGGAAAAAATAAGGGAGCAAGGACTAAGAAGGAATGATCCGAGGCACTCTGATTTTAAAATGAAAAAATCCTTTCTTCCTATGAGAACGTGGCAACGCGTTTCAACTTCTGGTCTGCATCAGGGTAAGTCAAAGCTGTTGTGCTTATGTTCAGGAGTTTCTCAACTGGCTTTAAGCAAAATATAACGTTGTACACTTCTCATAGGAACCTAATGTACAAGTTTATTTGTCGCCTGAACACTAGTGCGAATATGATGATTTTAGTGTTGACGAGCAGAGCTTACAGTGATGTGCGTTTTACCTCTGCACCGTGGAAACACTGGTATGGTTGCCTCCTCTAAAGAGATTTGGGGACTCTTATTGTTTAATGTTGTCTGTTTTTTAGTGTGTTGCATCTTGTCTATTTTTTGTTCTGGACTACGAGTTTGTAATAAAGCTATCTATCTATCATTATGTAGATCTACTAAATACCACAAATAGATCTACTATACCACAGATGAAATGAATGGGACCAAAAAAAAACCTGCGTACGGCACTGCAGCGGCGCCGAGTGGAGTCCTATTTTTGGAAACCTGTATCGGACCATCCCTCCATCCCCTGACAGGCTCGTGCTATTTTCATCCTGTCTCCTGTCGTGCACGCGCATTCCCGTGCACCCGCCCTGCTGTGCGCGCGCATTCTACAAGACGGCCCTTCAGGTGCGCGCGCGGAAGCAGGGGAGCGACCATAGACTGTAGAGAGAGAGAGGGGGGGAGAGAGAGAGAGAGAGAGGGGGGGAGAGAGAGAGAGAGAGAGAGAGAGAGAGAGGGAGGGAGGAAGAGATCTGTGGTTTGTGGGATGCGAGCTGCCCAAGTGCCCCCAACAACTGCTGCACACAACCACCACCCCACACGCCGGAACACGCGCGATCTGCAGCGGGGGACGCGTGAGCAGTAGTGGGGCTTCCCTCGGAGCTTTTTGCGCACTTGCAAAGCGGCAAAATCGGGAGAATCCTCGCAACACAAGGCAAGGCAAGCGGCAGGAAGAGAAAAGTTGAGATCCCACGATTTGCCAACGCGTGGGAGTGGGGGATCGTGACCAACTGAGGCGAGCCCCACTGTCTGTCTCGTCATGGCAGGTAAATACCCACTGGGATCACGCATTCCATTTGCTTTTTGATTGTTTTTGGGCACGTGTGGGCGATCTGTGTTGTGATTCGCAGCGCGGTGGAGTGGAGCTAACGTGCTAGCTTAGCCAAACTATAGTTAGCTCGATGCTAACGCTAGCGGAGTGTCATTTTTTGTAATGAATTAGAATAAAATACTTTTTGTACATACATTTTAATTATACGTAATAAATGTAATCAACAATAATAGTACACACATACAACTCAAAAAATTGAGAGAAACATGAAAAAAATAATTACCCAGCATTGGCCTGTGCATGGGTGTAGTGCCCTTTGCAGCATCATTCACAACCGCCAGCCAAATAACACCATTTATTAAGAAAAATAACATTGGTTGATAATTATTGTAGAGTAGATTTGATGGTGGTAGTAGTGGGAGTATTATTGAAAATCAAGCACTAGTTTAGATTTTGGTTAGAAAACATTCACAATTGGAGTGAATGTAATAGTTAATTTGAAGAAGTAAGCTCAGGTAAGATAAAAATACAGCAGATTAACTTGTGAAGCTTACAAATTATGGCATCTATTTCTCATAATCAAACCTTAATCGATACGTTTAAATGTAACAAATTGAGATATTTTCTTTACCATGCTGTCTTTTGTGTGCGGGTAACTTTCTACAAAAAAATTATCTTTATTGACAATATAGCCCATCTCAAACCTAAGCCTTCTCCTGTCACTTCTGATGTAGAACCAGGATGTAAAGATCTCTGCTACACATGGCTAACGCTAATGGCTAATGCAAACTGCTGCTGTTTCCCATTCTTCCGCCCCTAAAACTTGGCTAAATATATCCATCTCCCCCTGTAGCTGTAACCGCACACAGTTCACTATTGTGCACCAACGCTATTAACTTTGATACAAGTATTCATTCATTTAGCCTTTGGATCAATCGCATAGCTTCACATTAGCACAGCTCACTGCACATTGGTACAGCATGACGAGGTGCGGCTAAAGCTAGCACTACTTCAAACTCATCTGTGGTCTTTTTTGGGGGGCATCACTTTTCTTTCACAGGGTTGACAAGTTACCCATGTATTATATGGATTTCAGCAGAATTGAGAGACGTGATGTGGGTGATTATCTGCTCGTTTTGTTGTAGTCTTCTGCTCAAGATATTAGTAATTGCGTGTGAACTTGTGTATTCTTGCAGCCTTGTCTGTGCAGCTTATGTCAGATGGTTCATAAAGCTTGTTATTTGAGAACTTTTACAGAATGCGTTGTCCACTTAATCAAGGAATCAATGTGGAGAATGTTTACGCCCGCATCGGTGGTTATGTCAAGTAAATTATATTGAGAATGGTAACTTTTTAAAGTCTAACATTCTCTCTTGATCAGATATCACTGAATAAACTTTATGGCAACACACGTAATAAAGACGGGTTTCACCAAATGTTTCAGACTTTTCAAAAATATAATTTATTATTACACTTTTATAACAGACACTATGTCCAGATAAGAAAGACATCTCACAAATATAATGATAATAAAAAATAAATATACATACATGTATGTTTTATGAAACCGTTGAACTACAATAACAACAGTATGTATTTGGACGATTGTTTGCTTAATACATTCATGTAAGACAAGTAGACATGCAACAAAAAATAAAACCCTCAGATTAACTGCAACTACTCCGTTATTAAAATGGTTGTCAAATAATTTATTTTATTTATTTATTTGATATGGACACAAGTTACATTGGACAGACCAGATGCACTGCCTTTAGAACTATAGCAAGACCATGCTAATTTTCAACACTTGTCCATAGGAGAGACTGATAAATGATTTTTTGGTAACCTGCCACAGTCTTAAACAAGCTGAGAAGTACTTTTAGTCTCAGTCCAATGTATAACTAGTAATCTCTATGTGATCAACTGTCAAACCCTACCCATGACCCTATCACACCATAACAATCATCAATTATCAAAATAACCATTAATTACAGCCCTGATATCTTTGGAGCGTTTGATTTAAAAAGGGGGATTATGGTGATGTTGTAACTATTCAGTTGTAAAATTCTGAATAGTTAACTGATCAGTTACAAAATGTTGTTATATTGTACTCTCATGCTTTTCTAATCTTATTGTTAAAGTGTATCCCAATCAAGATGCACTTTTCAGGCTCTAACTTATTATTATTTTTTGCTGTGTTTTAGTTGTTTGAAATCATTGTTCTTATTAGTCATTGTCCTGAATAGGCCATCTACCCTAATGAATCAGCCCAAACTTCTATGTTTTTACATGTATGTTACATTTTATTTACAAAAGTGGAGAGAGTCTGGCAAATTTATTAAAGATAACGTAGCTATTAAGTGTTCAGGGTAAATAAATATGACTGGTTTCTGCTGTTCTCCTTTTTCATAAAATTGACTAATCAATCAGTTATTTTTACTGAGATAATCCTGCGGTATTTTAGACTTCCTTCAGCGGCCTTTAGTAGTTTAAATGTTATCGTTTATTGCAATAGTTTCCAGAAGCATCGTTTACAGAAGAAATATGTCAGATTGAGTCATCGACATAGCTCTATAGTGATAATAATCATGGTCTTTTTCTCCATTTTAGAATAATACAGTAATGGATGATGCCGCTCATGTTGTTTCTTTCAGAAATGTGAATCATAAAACCTCTGGATGACTCACTCTTGTCCTTGACGCCACTGACGCTGGACACGTTATCCTCTGCTTTATATTGTGAAAATGGTGACGACAGAGCTGCTGGGAGTAAAAATGATACAAAATGGTTTCCTTTTTGTTTTAGGTGATGTTGATTGAGGGGTGCATTGTGTAACTATTCAGAAATGGTGCGTTAATGATGCAGGCTATTAATGACTATCCATTCACAATAACATGCTTTCCATTGAGTTTTGGCTGCATCCGAATTCAGAGATCATGCCTCCTTCCTTTTTCGTTCCTTGCTCAGTTCCTTATACCTAGGTGTCATAATTTTTGACTAAAATGGCATTGAAAACTTTAAAAATGTGTTACACTTTACTGGATATGAGGCTGACCCCTCTCATAAAAGCTGTATTGAAAATCAAAAGGAAAAGGAGGCAGTTTTTCTGTTTGGTTTTTGGATGCTGCCTGGTTGAGCTTGGGAGCGCTGGTCTTGCAGCTGAACTAGCGGCTGGTCTCTGTAACGTTTGACAAATATACAAAGTAACATTATTCCCTGACTTGGCATGGTGAGTTGTGGTTTAGTCTTTGACGTGTGGTTTTTCTCTTGCGCAGGAGCTGGAGGCGACATGCAGTGGTGCTTCTCTCAGGTGAAAGGGGCCATTGACGACGACGTAGCCGAAGGTAAGAAATCTATTTTGATCATTAGAATCTTAGAAACATTAGAAAGGTTTTTTTTGTTTCATCTGCTACCATGGGGTTTCTGCTGCGACTTCTGCAATTTGCTTATAATGAAGGAATTTTGGAGATCCATCCATCCATTTTCTTCCCCTTAATCCATTTCTGGGTCGGGGGGGTGGCTGTCAGAGCTGCACCCAGTACACTAAGCACCAGCCCCTCACTGATCCTCCTGCAGGTGGTGAGTCCACAGGAGCTGAGATCTTTCAATGGGGGCTTCAGGCAAAGTGGGGTTAAGTGTCTTGCCCAAGGACACAACGACAGCAGTCATCAGTGGGAGTTGTGAAGTAGGTCTTATGGTGGGCTCGAACCCACAACCTTCAGGTTCAAAGGCCAATGCTCTACCAACTGAGCCACTGTCGCCCCTGGAATTTAGGAGATATTCAATTCTATTTCGTGTGTAGCCCTAAATTAAAACAGTGGTTATCTCTCAGGACTTCACAAGCTGCCGACTCGCCAGCCCAGATCAGAAAATCAAACAGTTCAAACACAGGAAATGCAATGTTAAAAAAAAAACACATATAACCATTGGTCCAAGAGGGTCTTAAAGACCATTAATATTGTTGAATGTCAGTTGTCCTGGATCATCACCACTGTACTTAGAGCCTAATGCATCGTCCTAAAAACCCAGAGAGAGGAAACGAGAAACCCCAGGGAGGTCCACATTGAGGGAGGGATCCACTCTCACGATCGGACAGGGAGTGGATCCCTTTAATCTGGGGTACCTAACTTTTCTTTCAATCCACAACATGTTTCATAGCTTCACATAGAAATCTTTAACTGTCTTTTGCTAACTTAAAGAGCCCTGTGAGTCACTGTTTGGGCTGAGAGCTGATTGGCTGAGTGATGGTGGTCCTCACTTTTTTCACTTGTCTCAAATAGAGAAAATGCATGTGAAAACTGGTGATAAAGCCAGGAACTAGTCACATGGATTTGATGACATAGTAAAATGTGGTCTGGTTTTAAAGTTGGGTACCCCAGCTTTAAGAAAGAAATATCTATATGACCACAGCACACACCACAGGGGGGGGGGGGGGGGGGCAGTGTCCACTGGGCGGTGTCCACTGGGCTGGGGACGTGTGAAGAGGTGGGGGCGGGAGGGGGGGCAGATGGAGAGGGGGAAGAATCAAACCGGTTGAAGTACTGGTTAAATCATATAACATACACATTAAAATACAGTTCAATCAAATTATATTGTAAGCAAATTATAAATTATATTTGTCACAATAACCGGTAATGAAAATTCAATATTACATTATGTACCTAATATAAGTGTCAGTTAATTTTAGTATGTCAGTATTGTCTCTCTTTATCATTTGGTTGCCTCTGTTGTTTTATATTAGATGGTATGAATCTTGCTTTTGCCAATTTCTTAAGTGAGAAATGGTTAAAATGGACTGCATGTAATATTTAAATTCTTAAAACATGTTCAACACATATGTCCGGAGTATTTACATTTGTGACCAGAATAAGGATGCTGGTTTGTTTGGTGAAATTAAGCTATTTTTTGGCCCCAAAATTCACAGACAAAAATTTGCACCGCACATAGGATTTAAATTAAATCCGATACAGTGAGTCACAGAGTTTGTACAAGTTTTAGGTGAACCCCAGCAAGTGGATTGTACCAAAAAGCTGTTCTTAGGAGCTCCATGTGTCACACAAGGTAATTCTGGCAACAAAAGTCGTTTTTCTATTGACTTTATTAGAAGTGCAATGCATACTACAAACTGTCCCTTTAACAGCTCACAAAGAAGGTCCTTTCTTTCACAGCAAAACTAAAATACATTATAAACTATTATATTTTCAGAATACAGTCATTATAAACTGCTCCTACAGATGGCTCTCCATGCATTCAGCCGGTGTGACTTTGTTGAGAAGCGTGTGGTACCTCTGGTATCGCTGAGCAAGTTCAAACCGGGTCATTTTATGTAATTTGGGCCATAGTAACCAAATGCATTTAAGCCTTACATAGAAACACTTAAACAGAGTACTTTAGAACAGGGGGAGGAAATGCTGCTAAAATTAATGTATTATTAACATTTACTTATCACTGCAAAAAAATATAAAATGTGAGTCAATAATGGGTTGAATCAAGTGAATTATCTAAAACAAGATTTGCCAATGGAAGAAAGCCATTTAGTCTTATTTCAAGAACTTTTGCTTGATTTTCTCATTCCAAGGGTGGCATCTCTTGTATATTTTTAAAACAAGATCATTTTGCTTGATCCTTTTTCATCACTTTTTGCAATGATGTAATTTTTTCCATTATCAGCCTATCTATTGCTGTCTATCCCTCGTCATGAGATTTGGGCCATGACCGAAGGGACAAGATCCCGGATACAAGGGGTCAAAATGAGTTTCCTCTGCGCAGTGGCTTAGCGCTCCTTTTAGAGAAGGGGCGAGGAGCTCAGCCACACGAGACTAGCTTAGACTAGAGTTGCTGCTCCTTGACATTGAAAAGGGACAGGTCAGTTTCCCCAGGCATATGTTTTGGATGCCTCCTAAGCGCCCCCATGAATACAAAAAAGTTTTGATGGAATGTGGTTCTACAATCCATTTTTTTGGACTCATGGATCCTTCATTTTTTCAAGTTCTGTTTAATACACTCGTTTTAAAGTGTTTGTTTGTATTGAATATTTGTTGCTGCTTAGTTTGATACCAGCTCTACCAGAACTATATAGATATAATAGCAGTTCAGGGAGTGGAGCCCGGTCTCTGTCAGTTCCACTGCGGGTGACCCCTTCTTGGGCCCTCAGGCTGCGGCTCTTACAAAGACCCCCTCTGATAACTGTTCGGTCCATTGTCCTTCTGCTCCACTGGATGTCAAAGACTGAAATGTGTGTACGTGCGTGTGTGTTAGTGAGAGCCTGGTTTACAAATCCAGCTGCGGAGATGTGTGTGAGGAGGGGAAAGTAGGTTATAGTCTGTAGCTCCGTCAGATCCTCAGACTGTAGTCCTGGGATTAGGATTATTTCCTGATGAGCCTCTTTGTCTCAGTCCGGTGTGGTGAATGGCTCTGACGGCTTATGGTTGTGTTTTGACAGCGGACATCATCTCCACGGTGGAGTTCAACCACACAGGGGAGCTGCTGGCCACTGGGGACAAGGGCGGACGAGTGGTCATCTTCCAGCAGGAGACGGAGGTAGGCCGCTCACCAGAACACAGTATACTGGCGACGCTAAAGATAATACATCAATTATGAACTGCTACTAATGTATGACCTGTACTGCAAGATTATCCCAAGAATGCAAATATTACAAATATTTAAAATGGTCAAGTATCTTATATACAAAATATAGACCTTGGGACCAGTAATAAACTATACATTATTTTTATTAAGCTCCAAAAGTCATTTACTATTAAGACAAAAATTATGTTAAAAAGTATGTAACATCTAATGCACGTGGGTTCGATCCCCCACGACCCATGTCATCTGCGCCCACTGATGTCTTCTGTCGTTGTGTCCCTGGGCAAGACACTTAACCCCACTTTGCCTGAAGCCCCCGCAGAAAGACCAAGGCCATCGTTGACGGAGCAACCACCTGCAGAAGGATTAGTGGGGGACTGGTGCCCTGAAGATTGGGTGGCAGCTCTGATTGCCACCCACGTCCCAGAAATGGAATGATAAAGGGGATAAAAATAAATGAATGAATGATAATGTTTATATGTAAAGTAATATTGTGACCACGATATTCGCGTTAATGGCCACACGTCTAACTAAAGCAATTTTAATTTGGTACGCTAACATGATCATAGTTCAATAATAACTCTATTTTAATTGCTGATTATTTCTGATACCGTTATAAAACACAGTGCTAAGTCCATACTGTATGTTCAAAACTTCCATTCAATGCATGTGGATTATAAAATAGTCTCATGCTTGATGCTCGGAGAAACTACTCCGAGTCCTTACAGGTTGGCGCAGTACTGAATTTTAAATGTCAAAAATCAAAGGCGTGTCAAAAGTGTCGATATGATATTCATCCCAAAACAAAAGTGCTTTAGAATTGGGGGGAGTCCTTCAATTTGATTCCGAGGCAGAATGTGTCCGTGACTCTATCCTCGGGTCAGAACAGCTCCATCCTCTGTATGCACCTCTTAGTTTACATGAAATGAGGTGTATGTTATCTGCAGCTGTGTGAGACTGAAGCGTAGGGAGCGGTCCTCTCTGGGGACACTCCTGGTCTCTGAGAAGGTTATGGTTAAGTGGGACTTCATTCTCCCCACAGAGAAATTTGGACTCAGGAAGAGTTTGCGTCAATTCGATTAAACTCATTTGTGTATAATCCAGAATCACAACAGCACTTGTCAGTTCTCCAACAACAGATCAGAGAATCAGAACCAGGAAACACAGCAATAATGACAAACACACCATTGCACATTGGTCCAATATGTATTTTCCTTTTTCTTTTCTTTTTCTGATTATTATTATTTCTAGACAACATGTATTAATCGTTTCTTTATTCTGACTTCAATAAGAATGAATCTGTAGTTGATAAAATATATATGCATCAATAGTGTTTTAAAATGTTTTATCAGAGTTCCTTGTATTGACATATGCATTATATCTGCAGTCTCTCGTTCTGAATTGGGACTTCAACTGTATCCAATCATTAAATTTGTATATTTAGTAATCCAGTCTGCGTAAAAAACTAGAAATATGTATCAGATTTATAATTTATAGCCAGATCAGAGAGCTGGGAGCAGACAAAACTGGTATAGAAAACACTTATGCCAAAAAGACTCCCAGGTCAGACTGACGATTACTTGAATGCTTTTCCTGTTTCAAGCACATGTCAAAATCTTAACTGTTGTTTCGTATAAGTATCTAATAGATATTTGTTTTTGCCCACATTGCCCTTTCTCTTCTGTTTGCGTTTTTGTTCAGTGGATCTGACATGATCTCATTCAAACGCTGCCTCAGGCTCACATCTGCATTGTTCCCCTCGTCCTTCTTTTTGTGCAGAATAAAAACCCGCCTCAGTTCCGGAGCGAGTACAACGTTTACAGCACTTTCCAGAGCCATGAACCCGAGTTTGACTACTTGAAGAGTTTGGAGATCGAGGAGAAGATCAACAAAATCCGCTGGCTTCCGCAGAAGAATGCCGCCCAGTTCTTGTTGTCCACTAATGGTGAGTCCAGCAAGTGGCACCTGGTGTTGCCAGAAGTCTCACATCACAGCACTAACCAGGCCCTGGCCTGCTTAGCTTCAGGGGTCTAATAAGATCTGGCTTTCACATGCAGGTGCAATATTTTTTAATAAATATTTCAAGAGGTTTTAATATTTTATTATAGTTGGTCCGCTGCGGTTGTGGTTAACCTCATTCACACTGAGCAACACGGGTTGGTGTGTCAGAACGACTCGGCATTTAACCCGCCTTGCGACCTATTCTTGTCAAACTGTTTTCTAGGCTGTTGCTTATATTCAAGTCAGGTGAAGATGATAAAACTACACAAGTCACACAAGGGACAATACTTGCATAATGATGGCGTAACAAGGAGAGTAACAAGTGGGATGTGCTTTCTTGAGGCCACCTGCATGTGAAAGCCAGATCTTGTCTGACCTATGAGGCTAAGCTGGGCAGGGCCTGGTTAGTGATGTGCTGGGAGATCTCTGCGAACAGTGGGGCGGCTGTAAAGTACCAAACTGTTGGTGTTGTCTTTAGGCAAGACACTTCATCCACATTGCCCAGAATGAGTCTGGTGCGTGCATGTCCGTGTGCCCCAGGGCAGCTGTGGCTACAGTAGTAGTTTATCACCACCTTGTACGGAGTGAATGAACTTGCTATAGTCCATTATAATCCAATCCCCTCTGGTCCTGGCTGCACCACGCTGTAACTTTAAAAACTTTGTTTTGACCCTATAGTTTTCATTCCGTGGTGAAAATCCGACACAAATCCACCGTTGACACAGCATTTCAGTACGGGTCAAAAATCCACGGGTCTCCAGTGTGAAAATGCCTATTATCACAAATATTTAAACGACTTCAACAACATACTCCTGGTGGCAAAAACACAGCGTTCACATAAACGTGACCATAACCCTTAACAACCAGCACTAATGATTAATCTGCAATCTCAGCAGAAGCGAAGGTCAAGACAAAAAAGTTTCTCTTTTTCAGAATCACTACCTCTGGTTCCTTTTATGATTTATGTGAAACTATCATTAATGGCACATCTCTATCTATTCAGTTCCTGATGTATACTGTCGACGTCTACACATTTATTGCTGGCAATAACAAACTCAAAGAATGTTTGTTATCTTTACTTTCGTTTCATAGCTTATAAAACTACTTTCTTGTACAGTTTGAAAGTTCCAGGCCAAAATGTCTATTTTCTGCCCATATTTTGGAGATTTTAAATAATAATGCACGTAGTCGGTGAAGCCAATTATTCAAATTATGAGGACAGAAACTCCTCTTCTGACCATGATTAGAAGTCTCCATCCCCCAGTTCTCAATAGTCTGTATTTCCCCCTTTAATATGTATGACAGCTGGGAGTCTTCTGTGGTTGTTGTGGGTGAGGTTCTTTTATCCTCTCTGATGGTAAAACTGCCCATTCTTCTTGTCAAAAATCCTGCAGTTATTTTAGATTGCTGGGCGCCTTGTGATAACTGCACACTTCAGATCTCCCCAGAAAATCTCAATGATAGAATTTGAACACTGGAGTCTTCTATTTCACAATATATACCTTCACAGGGCTGTGACATGTTAGTGCCCTATGAACCAACTCGGACTTTGAAGAGCACAGAGTCAGGACTAAACATGGGAAGGCTGCGTTTCAGATTGAAAGCAGCTAAAATCTGGAAGTTTTCCTGAAAATGTGAGACGGGCTTCTACTCTGACAATGTTCAAATCCATGTCTTAACAGTTCTGTTTAGCGCTGCACACAACTGAAGGTTTGTATCGTCACTCTTTTTAATGTACAGGGATTTTTCATGATTTCAATGCCATGTCTTGTTAAGCACTTTGAGTGGCCTTGTGTATAAACTGTGCGATACAAATTATCTTACCTAGTCCTCACGCAAGATTTAAAAAATCCAGGTGTTATGGACTAACCAATGACATCTCTGGCTGTCACAAGAATCTGAACATAAAAGCATTCTACCAGCTGTTTTTCAACCTCTACACTGCCTCTTGTCACCCAGGCCTAATTACTCCATTGATTTTCGCAGATAAGACGATTAAACTGTGGAAGATCAGCGAACGGGACAAGCGGCCCGAAGGCTACAACCTGAAGGAGGAGGACGGACGCTACAAAGACCCCAACTCCATCACCAAACTGCAGGTGAAGCTCCACCGCTGCATTACACAACTCTCGGCGTGTTGCAGCCCGAGGAGCGTCTGCATTTGACTATTTTTAGGCCTGTTCGTACTCGACTCTATTTAGAGAGCTTGGGAATTGCATAATGTGGAGCAGATTAATGTGGGATAAGGCTGCAACAAAGTACACAGCAACAAATGAATATTAATCCGTGATTTGTTTTGAGTATGCTTGTGCAGTGTCAGTAGGAAGTGTGTATTCCTATAGTTCAGGAGTCGAGGTTAGGTTTAGGGTTGGCTATGTTCCCTATGGCTCTATTAATGAGGGCTTCTGGATCTTTCTGCTGATCTACAGGCATTATAGAAGCAGACGGAACCACGATCAGACCGAATCTATTTTTGTCTCCTGTCAAAACCAGTGGGGGCGGAGAATTTTGTTTTAGACCAGCCTAGTTTATCCCCTGTGGACTTTTGAATCCACTCGTTAAATGTATGAGGCTTGACTAACGCATGCACACACATTTTTTCACATTTTCCTGAGGGAGGGGCTGCCAGTGGCCATTTTGAATACGCCCATGTCTGTGGCACATACATTACAACAATGGAAACAGGTGTGACTATGTTTATTGATATTTACAATCCATGGTCAAGACACGCTTGTACAGCCCTAAATCACAACAGCGGTCGTCTCTGAGGATTTTACAAAGTTTTTTATTCTCCAAAAACAGACAGAAATGTCAGAATGAAACACTACGAACTTTGGAAATGCAATAAAAACAAACCCATAGGAGACATTGGTCCAAAAAGAGCAGGAAGATCTGTCATGGGAAACTAGGCCCAAGTTTGCTCGTTTGAATATTTTAATTGTGGTTTAATCATCATAATTTTGTTTTTTTTCCCCCAGGTACCGGTGTTGATACCGATGGACCTGATGGTGGAGGCCAGTCCCAGGAGGGTGTTTGCCAACGCGCACACTTACCACATCAACTCCATCTCCGTGAACAGCGACAACGAGACGTATCTGTCCGCGGACGACCTGCGCATCAACCTGTGGAACCTGGAGATCACCGACCGCAGCTTCAGTATCCTCTGGCAAATGCTTGTTTTAACTCTTTCTAACACATACAACATTAAAGATGGAGAAAAAAATTGTCAAACTTCAAAAGAATTCAACTATGTAATCATTTAAATCCATCCAGCTTGTCACTCTTAACACGGGTCGCTTCTATCACTAGTTTTCATTTGCATGTATTATTGGCCTCTGTCACATCCTTAGATCAGCCATTTCAGACAGAAGAGGCAAGTTTATTTGTAAAGATATTAACAATTATACAAAGCATTACAATCATAAGTAATTGTATGCACAGCTAAACAGAACTATTTTCTACCTGGATTTTCATTGTCAAGTGAAACAGAGAGGACCACACTCGGCCCTCAGCCCAAAGTGTCAAATAGAGCTCGTTCTTCTATGTATGTGAAAGATAACATGTAAGTTATACAGCTATATTAAGATTTTTCTGTTGGGACAAAGAACATTAATTATTTGTTTTTCAAAAGTTAGACTCCCAAAGCTTTAGATTTGAGAGTGGCTTTTATAATGTTCTGTGATTTGGACCAGGAAGTTCTATGGTGCCATGACACTAGGTAGACTCAGAACTCACTCAAAATTGATTTTTAAAATGATACGTACAAGACTTGGGGATAGTCTCAGGAAAAAGTTGCTGAGTAAAGTATTTTCCTAATTTTATATTGTTATGTCGAGGTAATAACGATGATATTTTACAATTGTTTGGTCAAGATGAAATTAATAACTACAGGAACTGGCTAATTTTCAGAACACCAGAAATGCAATAACAAACTCATACAGTGAGCTGAGCTTTTGGAATTTCTCACATTTCTGCATAAAATTTCTCTCAAATGTGATCTGATCTTTCTCATAATCACGCAGATGAAGGAAAACACTGTAGACATAAAGTAAAAGTTTTTATTTACATGGACAAGCTTATGTGTGTCTTGTCGTTAGAGGAGTTTTATGAATTTTCGGGTTGAAAATATTGACATTGGCTCCAAGAAGAGTTTTTCTTTTGATGCAAGCTTTTTAATAGATTAATACCGGTATGTGATTGTATTTCTTTTGGCTGACCTCGCTATTGGCCTCCAGTCCTTCCCACGCGTTTGTGGCCTTAAGACGTGCCTCCTCAGACATCGTGGACATAAAGCCGGCGAACATGGAGGAGCTGACGGAGGTGATCACGGCCGCGGAGTTCCACCCGCATCAGTGCAACACGTTTGTCTACAGCAGCAGCAAAGGCACCATCCGCATGTGCGACATGAGGGCCTCTGCGCTCTGCGACAGACACACCAAACGTAAGACGCCACAGTTACAGGTTCTGGAGCGTCTTAAAGGGGCAGACGCTGAGACTTAACCACAGGGGTCATGTAACGAGCGCGGACCATAGACGCGCAATCAGGACCGAGGGGGAGACGGGCAAGACCCGCACGTGCAGCAAGCTCCCTCCCACGTCTGTCCCCCGTCTCTCCCTGTATCTCCCCCATGTCTCACCCCCATGTCTCCCCAAAGTCTCCTGATGAAGCGCAGACTTACTGAAAAATAAAATTTTGCTTGCATTGACAATGCATGTTTTTTGGGCAAAAAATAAAATGTTGTGACCAACTCAAACAGAACAAACCAAAACAGTCATGTTTTGTTTATTTTTCTTACTTTAGAAACAGCCTTGTGAGTCATTATTTGACTTTTTGGGCTGAGAGTGGATTTTTTATATTCTTTTCTACATAGTTAGTGCCACTTTATTGCCAAACTCTTTTTGACTGATTGCATTGATAAACATGTGTTAGTCTCACATTGTTTTTGGTTGTTTTATTACCTTTCCTGTGTGGAAGTAGATGTTTCTATCTGCTACAAAGGCCGAGATACCAATCATTTAGTAGACGTTGAATTTCAGGAAAACTTCAGGTTTTGGAGGGTGGCTCTGAAGCCGGCCATAGGTTTTGCAGGTCTGTTTTACCAGGCGATGCAGGCCTTAATGGGTTAACCAGGCCCTGCCCTGCTTAGCTTCAGGGGTCTGACAAGATCTGGCTTTCACATGACTTTTTTTACATAATATGTATGTACAATATTTTTATCATTTCAATCCTGGAAAAAAGATAGATTTGAGAAGAGATGGAATCAAAGCTGGAACTTGCGTAGTCTTTTTCTGTAGCAATTTCGGCGTAATACTGCGGTCTGCTTCACACGTCGTGTTGCTGAAGAACTCTGTGTGAACATGACGAGGCGTATCGAGGCGAACAGTTACTTGTGAAAAGGCCCCTGGTTTAAAACTACACCCATCTGCGTCCAGCGTTCTTAACACTGTAGCCTTAAACAAGCGACACACTCACAATCTGTCCTTGTTTTTAATATGGCCTAAACACAAACACAAAAAAAAGATTTATGAAGCAGCGTGGGATGTAGGGTACCGAGGGCATAGGTGGCAGAACCAAAATAAATGAATCAAAATCCTACTATAACCTGGTAAAGTTAAAACCTTAAAGTTTGGCTAAAGTTTATTGTTAATGGTATCTTGACATACCAAATCTAAAATGGAGGGTCAACCAATCCTTTTCCTTTAATCTAGATATTTTTATGGATAACTAATCTTTTCAATTCAATATTTTTTTGTATCAGCCCTAAACTACAACAGCGCTTGTTTCAGAGGACTCTCAAAAGTTTCGATTCCTTAACAGATCATAATAATATACGCAAGGGAGCCATTGGTCCATATAGAGCGGGATGACAACGGTTCATTAAATGTCCTGGATAATCACTGTCCTTAGACCCTCCTGCGTCGACAAGAAACAATAAAAAAATCAAGTTGGGAAAATCCTGAGGGGAAAAGCCTCAAGAGAGTGATCAGGCTGTAGATCCAGGATTCTCGTTCCTTCCTTTTTCCATTTATTTTATCACAATAGACACACACATACAGCTTCAATGGCACAAACAACACACTCACACATATATGACATTTAATTATTTTGTATTGTATTGTCTGTTGTTTTCACTGTTATTACTACTGCTGTATCACTTGTATGTTTGTTTTGTTTATGTACAGTATGTTATAATAATCTTCTTGAGGAATTGTGTCTGTGTCTAAACCTGCTGTTGTTGTGCAGTGTTCGAGGAGCCGGAGGACCCCAGCAATCGCTCCTTCTTCTCTGAGATCATCTCCTCCATCTCAGACGTGAAGTTCAGCCACAACGGCCGATACATGATGACCCGCGACTATCTGTCCGTGAAGATCTGGGACCTGAACATGGAGAGCCGACCGGTGGAGACGTACCAGGTGAGGAGCCAGGACCTGCTGCCCTTCTGCCATACGCCACATAAACATTTACTTTGGCAATTTATGTTTTAAAAAATGCATCTCAACGGGCAAAATAAAATTATAGAGGAATGTGAACTAAACTATAAAAGGTTACCCAACCATTACTCAAACCCACTTTCTTCTGGTACTGATATCTACAAGTACTACTGGTATCCGGTACACTTAGACAAACATGTTTCTTATTTTCACACAAACTACCCCAATTTCAAGTAATTTTGTTCCATAAATGTTGTGCAAATGTTTTTCTTATGCCTCTTAACTTGGCGGGACGATGGTACAGTAGTAGCAATTGTTTGTCACAGCACGCATCCAGACGAGGCCTTCCTGTGTGAACATTGCATGTTCTCCCCATGTCTGCGTAGTGCCTAGGTTTCCTCTGGGTGCTTCGGTTTCCCCTACCATTAGATACATGTATAATTGCTTATACCAACTCCGCCCCCTCTTTCTGGGGCCAGGACTCCTCTGAATAGGAGATTCTGAAATCTCAGTGGTACTAAATTCGTTTTTATAAATCAATTGTTTTGATTAAGATGATTAGATTATGTCTACGTGAGCTATTTCCCACGGGCTGGTATTGGTATTGGCATCACATAACTATAGTACAACAAATAAACAACATTTTTGAAAACATAAAGCTGGGAAGCCTAACTTGTTTTATAGATATTATTTGTGGTTTGTCCCCAGAGAAGCTGGGCTATGAGCTGAGAGAGGGTGGTCCTCTTTTAAATTTTTCTGTCAGACAAAGCTGATCTAAACATGTTGACAGCGGTCTCAAACACCTGCATGTTTAAACTAGTGCTCAAGGTCCCCACATGATTTCCATGGGGAAAAAAAGTGGAACAAATACAACATAGCACTTGAATATTATTGTTGCAATGGTTCGTTGTGTTTGGAGAAGAGTCTGATAAGAAATATCAAATATTTTAATTAAATTGGTATCAAGTTCTGAGGTGGGGTGGGGGGCTAAAAAGTTTGGGAACCCCTGGTCTATCCTATTGTGTTTGCAGAAAGACTAAATATTCAAATTGATCATTATTGTTTTGCCCACAAGAAAACGATGGAAAGATTTGATCAAGATAATTGCAGTTTAATCAAATCAATTACTGACAAAATGTCAAAACTATTATTACCCAACAATAAAATGCAACTATTCAAGTTCTGTACTTGTCATTAGACCGATGAGACAAGTATAATTATTCCCCAGTCCATGGAAGCAGATCTGTCGTGGGTTGAACTGTCTCAAGGAATTGTGACTGAATCCAGAATGCAGGGCGTGGAGTTGATGCTCGACTGAATCATTTCTGTGTTTGGGTGTAGGTCGTGTTGCAATCATCTCAACGGGATGAATAAACCGCCAGCGCTTTGTTTTAACTTTCTACTCACCGGAAAAAAACCATGTGAAAGAACCTCCTTTTTGGAATTGTCAGCTTTTATCAATCATCTACTCGTCCCCAAATTGTTTGCTTTTATACATTTCAATGTATCATTTTTATATGGATTTTCTTTACAAAACTTTAAACTAAGGTTGCAATATGATTATTTTCATAATAGATTAATCTAGGCATCGGAGATAATCCAAAACAATATTTTTGTTTGTAGTTTTGACTCTGAGATGATGTGTGAGATGATGAGTCTGTGATGGGGAGGAGGAGGGTTGGGACACAAGAATGGAGGCACTCTTTTAAAGCCTATTCAAACCTGCAAAAAGGCCTTTAATCCACCCATTTTATTCAGCTTCATGCCTTGCTAGAACGTGGGGGCAGCAGTCTAAAGGCACAGTCACAAGGGTTTTCACAAACAAACTTGGCTAGGTAACCCAGAATGTTTGTGGGTTTCTTTATGCCACAAAAGAAAGCTGTAGGAAAACTCTTCCCTTCAGCCTTGGAGCGACAAATCTCCACAGTGCCCCTCGACCACAACATGATGCACAATATTTTTTCCCCAGGGATGAAATTATAAGTTTTTCATCTTGAATTATGTGCATTAAAAAAAGGTTTTGGCAATGGAACAAACAGTCTGACCTTCAAGTGCAATTGCAATGTATGTTTTTGTATATATGTTTATTTGAGCGGGACAGTGCACCTGAATCCGTATTTAACAAACAATAATGCAAACGTGATGTCTCTGCAGGTGCACGAGTACCTGAGGAGCAAGCTGTGCTCGCTCTACGAGAACGACTGCATCTTTGACAAATTTGAGTGCTGCTGGAACGGAGACGACAGGTGACGACACGCTCGCAAAGACAGGAATGCAACATCTGCACAAACCAGATTCAATCTCTCTTCACGTGATGCTGCTACAATATTCAGATGATTAGACTATTATAATTGCATTGGAAGACTGTGCAAAAGCACCCAGTGTACACAAGAGACAACAAAACCCAATAAGATAAGCTTTATTTATCTCACATAGGAGAAATGTACATGTCACAATACAATATTGAAAACTGCATAAGGATGCACAGGAAAATATTTGACTAGAATTAAAAACTATTTCATACTAAACAAAATATGTATTTATTTTTTATTTTTTATTTATTGTGTTTATTTGAACATCGAATAAATGTATAAGAAAGAAAAAAAACAGTAAGAACAAAACAAAGAAAATAAAGAAAACTTATTCACGTTCAAAAGGAGTAGGAAGAAGCCAAGCTTATTTAATCCTACCCCTCTTCCCTATGTCAATTCAATATATTGAATATTGAAGCAAAATATACTAATATATATACACATACATGTATATACATACATGCATACATACATGTATCCATACATACACACATATACATACATATATATATAATTACAGTTAATTAAAACAATATTAACTTAAATGAACAGTAACAATAATTGCACCGTGTATCACCTAGTGTCTTTTTGTACCCCAGATTCATCCCTGTATCTATTCAAAACATGCTCTTTATATTTTACTTTGAACTCCTTTATATTTAGACATTGTTTCAATTCTTCACACAACCTGTTCCATATTTGTACTCCACTGAATGAAATACAAAATCTCTTTTTGTTTGTTCGTATTCTGATGACTTTAAAGTTATTTAACCCCCTTAATTGATAGCGCTAGATCAGAGGTGTTCAATCTGTTAAGAGGGCCACATTAGTCACCAGATAGTCCTGGGGCTGACAACACGGATTGTAAAAGTCTTTTTTACTGGATTCGGGCTGTTCTGTGCTTTCAAATGATGTATGACGTTACCATATTGATGCACATTTTACAGAGCTGAAATTGGCTAAATGATAAATGTTTGCTTTCACACCAGCTACATTAGCTCCATATATGGACATACATATATCCAAAGCAAGCAAAAACAATTTCCAGGATTCGCAATTGGAATCAAGAGGAGCTGGGCTTTCCAACAAGATATTGTTTGTCTGGGTGAGCTGAAGTTGGCTTGATGATGCTGTGTACATGAGTTTATAACTCAATTACCATTTTGAGTTGGCAAGGCAGAGGGCCAGATTAGTCTTCCCACCCATTTTTTCCCGCTATATATTATTATTAAGTGTTTTGATTTTTTTGTGATGTGAAACGGACAAAAGTTTGGGCAACACAACTCAGCAATTTTTGAAAGAAATAATCCATCCATCTTCTTCCCCTTAATCCATTTCTGGGTCGGGGGGTGGCAGTCAAAGCTGCACCCAGTTCACTGAGCACAAGACCCTCACTGATCCTCCTGCACGGTGTGAGTCCACAGGAAGATGGCTGCTCTGTCAGTGACGCCTTGATTTTTCAGCAGGGGCTTCAGGCAATATGGGGTTAAAGACCTTATGCCGGGTTTAAAAAAAAAAATTGTGGATATCAAAATTGCATGACAATGTCAATCTGAAAGAGATTCCGGCAAAAAAAATCCTATATTTTATAAAAAGAACGTGTTTTTCATGAATTTAAGTTGTCTATGCTCTAACCTGTGTGTGACGTCATAGCGGGTAACGCCCATGAATTGAAAACCATGGATCTATGCCACAGGACTGCCTTTTCTCTCTTCTCTCCACTGATGCCCAACACAATACTGCACTCTACAGGTGACAATTGCTCACTACACATAAATTGCCGTTTGAGAGTGAAAAAGTGTCTGAGGTGGGATTTGAAACCCAGTATCTGGATTGGCAGTCCATCGACACAACCACTGGACTATCTCAGTGAAAATGCAATGTCACAATCTAGTAGTAATCTCATACTCGCTGTACACGGCCTTGTCATCTTGAATATCCGCAAAAAAAGAACGAATACCAAATTGTAAAACACTTACAGCGTTGAAACGTACCCACTCTGACGTCACCAAGGGCTGTGAAGTTTTTTCGTCTCTAAGGGCGTTGCTATGGGGTTATTTCGATTTGGGGGGATCAGACAAAAAAAACAACTGATTTTGAAACCTTTAGTAGTTCTCTTCTAATATAAAATGGTATTAAAACTGTATTTCTAAATAAATCAAACCCGTCATAAGGTCTTTAAGTGTCTTGCCCAAGGACACAACGACAGCAGACATCAATGGGAGTCTGTGGAGAAGGTTCGGTGGTGGGCTTGAAAGGCCAGTGCTCTACCAACTGAGCTACTGTCGCCTCAAAAGAATATTTGAAAAAGAAAATATCCAATTATATCATGGTGATAAGATTCACAAAGCTGCCACAGCACACTGTCCTTTCTACGGGCCAATGTCATGCATGTTTTTGAATGTTGTCACCACTTCTAGAAACCTTGAGAGAGAATATGAGAATATAATTGGACTATAGTTGGTCTGTGTTACAAAGATGATGTGGCGATCTGGCCCAGGAATGACAGAAATTAACTTTTTACTTTCACCGTGTTTAGCAGTAAAATATTGTCAGTTGCCCTCCACCACATTGTTAAACTATAGGTTCCTTTTTAATGCTGTTTTGTATTGACCGGCGTGTGCTCCTCAGCGTGGTGATGACCGGTTCCTACAACAACTTCTTCCGGATGTTTGAGCGCGGCCACCGGCGGGACGTGACCCTGGAGGCGTCGCGCGAGAACAGCAAACCGCTGCAAGTGCTGAAGCCGCGCAAAGTTTGCGCCGGCGGAAAGCGCAAGAAAGACGAGATCAGCGTGGACAGTTTGGACTTCAACAAGAAGATCCTCCACACCGCCTGGCACCCGCAAGACAACATCATTGCCGTGGCCACGACCAACAACCTGTACATATTCCAGGACAAGGTCATTTAACGGCGCTCGGGCTGTTCCAGGTTTTAGCAGCGTAGTCACGGCAGCGCGCGCTCTCCTGCCTTTTCGAGTGGGAACGCGGCGCACCTGAGAGCAGCGGCGTTTTCTGTTGCGCGCGGCGAAAACAAGACTTTTGCCACTATACGAGCCGGGTGCAGACGGAGGAGCTATATTCACCCCCCCTTCACCCCCGGTCCGCGGCGGAGAAGTCACGCGTGCGCCTTGTCTAAAGCACCAATGCCGGGGTTTCCCATGTAGTGTTGTTTTGAATGTTGAGACATGGGCAAAACGTATCCATACATTTACATCAAGCAAAGATGTCAAAGCTCTAGTTCCATGTTAGAGTGAATATGGCCATCACCATATCATTAACTTGATGTAATGAGAAATAAAAAAAGGCATAAAAACAACACCCGAAAAGTGAGGAATACGTTTGGTGTCACTTTGAATGGGGTGCGTAATTTTTCAAACCACAAGAAATTCAACTCATCCCTAAAACAGTTTGGTTCCATCTCTAGTTGTCACAAGCATGTATTTCTTTCGTCTCTGTCACAGCTTTAGATCCGCTTTTTCAGACAGAAAAGTAAAAAAGCGAGGACACCCCATCACTCAGCCCCAAAGTGTCAAATAGTGACTCACAGGGCTAGTGTGCAAAAGATTGGTATTTTCAAATGTTTATTAGTTATGGTGAAAGAAAAGTGGCAGGCCCCAGCTTTTAAGACTGCAAAATTGAGTACATTCGGTAAAGAAAATAAACGAAAGAAATGGCTGAGATTTTTTTTTTATATCGAGACGAGCAAAATAAAACGTGCAACTGCTATAACTCTACCTTCCTGTCGGTGTCAATACTGTCATGTATTGGTTGACGATAAATTCATAAATACCGTTGTTTTTCGTTGATGTGTGCGACATTGTTGGCCTCAATTTAATCTAGAACATTTTTTTATAGCCGCAAAAAAATGGCTGTACCCTTTATGATGTGTGCCTGAACATTTAAAAGTTACAATCCAATCAATGTGTTTTGGTACAGCCCCAAATCACAATCACAGTCATCTCAAACGACTGATACATTTTGAGATCTTATTAGCTACTGACAATGTATTTGGAAACGCAGGGTTACACTACTGTAATAATTGGTGCACAATTTACATGTCTTGTTTATCACTAAATATCTGGTAATTGGGCACAAGACACGGTGATGACAAATATATAAAATGCATATCTCTTTTTGCTGTAGTATTCGATAATAAGCAATATTTAAATTGGACATATTCAAAGCAGGGACCACCTTCTTGAAAGATATTCCCACTTCTCTGTTGGAAGTATTGTCTTAGTCTGCTGCTTTTTAAACTGTGGGTATAGTGTAGAATAGAAACAAATATAGATTTTAGTGTTTTTGAAATGGTTTGGTCCCAAAATGTGAAGCAGAAAGCATGAAAGGGACTCGATCACTGCAGTGTTTTCCATCGATGAGAAGAGACTATGGTTGACGCCCATAATGTAAATACTGTTCCTTAAAAATGTTTGGATGTTATTGGCCAAACAAAATCCCTTTTTTGCATATTCTATTGATCCAAAACTCTAAAACTAATCAAAGGAAAATACTTTAACTGGCTGAAACTGCACATTGTAAAACTTTTGTTTTGTCCTAAACTAAAAGGTCTTTGATAATTTAATTAAATGTATAGCCCTAAAACACAACTGAAGTCGGCTCAGATTAATTTATAAAGTTGTCGATTCACTAACATCAGATCCAAGATTCAGTATTGTAATCAAAATTGAATCTTGGATCACACAGGAAATGCAATAATGACAACAAACACATAGGAGCCATTGGTCCATAGAAAGCGGGATGACCATTGTTCATAAATGTCCCGGGTCATCACTGTCTTCAGACCGACAAATGAACTGTGTGAAACCTCGGGGAGGCCGGTATTGAGAGGGCGATCCGCTCCCAAGGACGGACAGGCTGTAGAACAAGGAATCAGACTATACCAATATTGTTTTTGGGCCTACAAAAACGTGCCTTTTTTCGGTTTAAACTCAAACAATAGAAAGCTGTTTTGTAAACTACCAATGATTTTTTTAACAATAAAAAAAAAATAGTATCTCTGTTGCCATAGTCTCAACCCAAATCTGTGGAAAGCACTGCTCTTCCTCTTTGGCTCACAACACTACATGGAAAACCTCATAGTAATTATTAGCTTTATAATTTTGTGCCAATTTTCAGTTCTATTCATTTGCCACTTTTCCCTCATTTCTCAGCAGGAATCTTATTTTTTTATATCCGGGAAAAAAAAAATACCCTGTGAATTTCTCCGTGTTGTCCCACCCCCTCATCCCCCCTGTGCCATGGTAGGTTTATTTTTGTATTTTTTGTTGGTAGGACTTTTATGAATTGATCCGTTATTACTGCTGTCTTTGAAATGCATTGAAACCACTCCACCTTGACATTGTGCCTCAGGTTTAGCGGCCGCACGGGTCCAGAAAATAATAAATAACAGTAATTAAATGAAAAAATAACAGTATATTTATGTCAAAAAACTCTGGTTTAGTCGGAATAAATGTATTTATATTAACCGATGTTACCAAATTCGTTCCGTCCGATCTCATGAAACACTAATTTTTTCGTCTTATCAAGCACTTAAACGTTTGGATTTGACACTGGACACTTGACTTATCTGTGGGAAAGAAATAAATGTGCGTTTTGAAGCTTTGGGTCACTGTATGTCGGACTACTGTTTGGGTCGGTACAATATGAGCGCGAAAAGTCAGAGGATGGTGGACGATTCGGCCGATATTGATGCCCCTAGTAATGTATGAATACAGTTTTAATCTATGACGGTGAAGATGATAATAAAGGAACTACTTTTTGCATCTGTGTAGTTTACTCACACTAAAGTCGAGGACGAATGGGGTTGTGGCACGAGTAATGTACTTTTTCCCTTGTCGTTTACAGCTGTTTTAGTGATTACAGGCAAGTTTAGTAAAGCACAGATCATACACATGGCAATAAAATAAAAAAAAGAAATAATCATGTCCTGAAAAGGCATTAAAATCACATAATCCCAGTGCATTAAAAAGAGTAGATACAATCCTTCAGTTGTCTGCAGAGCTAAACAGAACTGGGTTGGTCATATGGCACTAACATAGTATTAAGTATTGATGCATAAATGTTATCTCGTGTTAGTTTGGCAGCATCATGCATTCTTTGTCCTCAAAACAAGAAAATATCTGCTGAATGGAGCCTTGGATGTGACATTATCTGCTGTTGTCAGGACCGAATATGGAAGAACGTAGAATAGTCTATATGGGATTTTACATTTGATGAAATTGTGTGATTATCAAGATGTTATTTCAAAACTTTTACAGACCCAAACTTCACTGAACAAAATGGTAAACGCATAAATATGTACTTGTTTTGAAATGGGGTTGGGTGAAACTCTGTAACCTCCAAAACCCCACAGACACAACACAGACAATTTGGACCCAAAATAATGTGATGTGAGGATGCGCTCTCCAAATGTATGGTCAAGTTTGGAGCGTGTTTAAAATTTACCAAAGCAATCAACCCACACTTTCTGCTGTCTTTAGTGTCTGTGTCTTTAAACCGAGACAAAGTATTGCTTATGCTTTTGATTATTGAAGGAAATGCCTTTTACTGTTTGTTATTTTATTGTATCACTTATTCCGAGAAAAAACAAAAACAAATGTAAAGTCATGATTTAACACTGTTCTTAAAACCCGCGCTAACAAGCCTTCACCATCAGAGGGAGCACGTCAACAGCAGTCGGATTATTCATTCCCAAATCTGGGGTGTCCAAACTTTTTTGTAAGAGGGCTGCTTAAGGTCACCAGACTTGTCCAGGGGCCGACAATCCTGAGTTTAAAATGGTTTTGACTGGTTTCAGGCTGTGCTTAGCATTACAACCATATGGCCCTCTCACCAGAGCTGGTGGGATATGGAATTGAACCCTAACCAGATGTCCTCCCTGTACAAATAAAGTGAAGAACTTGATTTCTTATGCCTGTGTTGGTATAGCTGAAATTGGCTGGATTACACACTACATAAGGGTAGGAACTTCGTACCCTTTTTATGTGCCTTCCTAGTTGAGAAACACATGCTTGCCTCAAGTAAGAATATTTGTTTTAATTATCTCAATTTATTGTTCTACTCTACTAGTGATGGCAACCAACTTTCTTGAGAAACTAAAATAACCTAACTTTCACACTTTGTATCCCAGTTTGGCCTCCGACACATCAGCTTTTTTAGACAGAAAAGTGAAACGATCGACTCTCAGCCCCAAAACATCAAATAGTGACTCACAGGGCTCTTTCTCAGAAGTACGCGAAATATAACATTTGAAGATGAAGGCAGCATGTTGTGGCCTGAGTTGTTCATCAGACGTAAGGCATGGCAAGTTTATTTGAGTTTCCTTGTGTGTGAACTATGCATACAAAGTGCTTATTAAAACAAGATAGAAACAATCATATACATATGGAAGCCCGTTTCCGCCATGTAAAAAAAAAAAAAAAGCCTACAGAAAGTCAAAATTTTGACTTTAAAAGTCAAAATTTCGACTTTAAAAGTCAAAATTTCGACTTTTAAAAGTCAAAATTTCGACTTTAAAAGTCAAAATTTCGACTTTAAAAGTCAAAATTTCGACTTTAAAAGTCAAAATTTCGACTTTAAAAGTCAAAATTTCGACTTTAAAAGTCAAAATTACGAGTTTTCAACTGCGCATGTGCAGTTGAAAACTCGTATGTGTTGCTGTCTGGAACGGTCTCTGGTCATCCCTGTTATAGATCCATGACCATGGGTCATCCTCTACCTGCAGATTATGTGAAGATTTTGCCTACAGACAGTGACCACATCCATGAAGTAGCAGCAATAATGTTGTGGTAGTAATCGCGTTAAAATGCAAACGGTCTCTCCGTTTATGATTAGAATCCGCTTCAGAAGCCTCTATCTAGTTTATCCTAAACGGACTGTGGAAGATTAATAATAAAACACATGTGGCTGTTCAAAGTCATTGAGCATCAACTGGTGACATCTGGTCAGTATCACGGCTATCGATGGATGCACCAGAAATGCACTGAATGATATTGTGACTGACAGAGAGACCGTTCGCGATTACAGGACAGTGAGGGAGGTCCGCAGACAGAGGCAGGAGAACCACAGACAGAGGCAGGAGAACCACAGACAGAGGCACTGACATTATTACCCTTTTGGAATTGCGATCAGTGCATTGAAGAGTATGTGACGTGTTTGCGTGCATGCGGGGGTGAGCTGATGGAGCGTGTGGTAAAGTTGTTGGCGTATGAGCAAGAACACAGAGACATACAGGGAATAAGTACCTTGTCTGATTATTTTATTGTGACAAAATAAAGCCCACGACTCTTTTAGCAACAATCCGGAGAAATAACTCCGCAGATAACAGTGAGGGTCTTTGAAAAGGGTTAGAAATAGATAAACCCATTATAGATGCATGAATAAAACCCCGTACTCAACACGTAGAAAGCGCATCCTTTCAGCCGTGGAAAGACTCGCTCCGTGTGGACCCCTCTCAGCGCCATCGTCTGGTCAGAGTGGTCTATAGCAGATTGGATTGGAATGTCTCGATGGCTCATTTTCCTTTGATTTATTATAAAAACGTATTGCTCACATTATTTGTTACTATGTCGAAATAAGAAGTCGTTTGATTTAAATGCTGTATATATGTAAATTGAATTTAACATAAATAAATAAAAAGAAAGCTCCTCCCTGCCTTCTACGACCGCGGTCTGGGGCTTAAACAGGAACGTTTTACAGAATCAATCAAACAACATTATTTCTGGCTACTTCAAGGATGCAGTGGTCGCTGTCAGCAATATCTTCACATAATCTGCAGGTGAAGGACGTCCAGAGACCGTTCCAGACAACAACACACACGAGTTTTCAACTGCACATGCGCAGTTGAAAACTCATAATTTTGACTTTTAAAGTCGAAATTTTGACTTTTAAAGTCGAAATTTTGACTTTTAAAGTCGTAATTTTGACTTTTAAAGTCGAAATTTTGACTTTTAAAGTCGAAATTTTGACTTTTAAAGTCGAAATTTTGACTTTTAAAAGTCGAAATTTTGACTTTTAAAAGTCGAAATTTTGACTTTTAAAGTCGTAATTTTGACTTTCTGTAGGCTTTTTTTTTTTTTTTACATGGCGGAAACGGGCTTCCATATATACAAGACCTTCAAATCATAAATAATCACAGTAAATTGAAAAGACTGAACAGTTCAAAAGTGCAACATTTACTTTTATTCTTTCTTTTGGTCTAAACAAAATGCATTATGTATGCCACTAACAAGTTGGGTACCCAATTAAGCTTTATATGAACGTTTATTTTTGTATTACGTAATTTCCCCACTGGCTGCGTCCTTACGTCAGCCGTCTACCACAGGAAGACGTGCTTACATACACACATACATGCACACACATACATGCATGCACATTTACACGCTCATACACAGACAGCAGTCCACCACCAGCGCCCGTAGCTGCAGCCTCGGCCTCTCCTCTCTGCCCCAGACCCCTCCAGGTCCCCCCTTCGGTGGTGAATGCGCACGCCTGGATGTGTGCACCCGATAAGCGCCTGAACTGACCCCGTATTTATGCGCCTGAGTTCCGGCCAGCCACCATGTCCAACCCCGCTAACGCCTCGTCCACAGACAACACCACGGAGCTGAACGGTAAGTGACTGCTTTCTACGCTTGTAACCTCCCTAAAAGTGTGCGAACGCGTGTGGAAACCGTAGAAAAACCACGCCCGCGTCTCGGTGGATACACAACACGGTGTTATTTGTGGTGTTCATCATTTTATGTCTGTTTCTTTGCTGGGAAAAGTACGCGAAGGGAGAACGCAATGTACTGTTTGGTTATTGACATCGTCTCTACCAATCAGAGCGTAACATGCAGGCTATGACAGGCGAATCGGCCAATCAGCGCCTTGGAAATGAGGAAGAAGGCGGGATTACGTTTTGTCAACAAGAACTCGCTATCAAAAGAATCTAGCAAAAATAATGCATTTTTCCTTCGCTTTTTCTGATATAATGGCATTGTTTTCTTCGTTTGGGTCTCCAGCAAATGCCCATATTACATGTGTTAAAAAACATTCACTGAATAAATAATGAAAGGCAAAGTTTTATCGATAGCTTATATCTCCTCGGCCTACAACGCTACGCTACGTATAACTATTACACACATTATCTGTTTAATCTGACGCTGTATAAACAGGGAAGAGGGGGTTTATCACAAGTTTATTCGCTTCAGACCCATATAGCTCGTTTTGTGTTTTTGGCCTTGGGTTTACGATACTAAAATATCAGACTTGATAACAGTTTTGTTTCCACCTTCATAGTTTGAAAAATGTACATATTTTTTTGGATAATATTCTATACATTCCAACACAAAATAGACGTGCAAGCACAGTTACGTTATTACAGTTACCTATGCACCTATATCCGCGGCAGTAAAATAGCTGATATAGACATCATCGAATCGTCCAGAATCACTAATGTTTTCCTGTCTTTAGCATCAATACTTCTTCATATGAGTACATTTCCAACAGTAGTTTTATAACATATGAATATCGGATTTTTGATGCTCTTGTAGACCGTACAGTGCTGCTGTTGTGATGGTAGATGCCTGTGTAGTCTAGTGACTGGCTTTGGCTGCTCCATTCCACATAAACAAAGCTTGTTTATGACAGCATGGTCCCGGCCCTCTGCCTGGAGGGGAGGCCCTTGGTGAAGTTTTACCTCACTGGGGGGGCTATGAGTCCATAAGCTATTTACAGCCCCGGTGATAAGGGGACAGATGTTCTGGATAAGAGGAGAGTGGAAACTTAAAGCAATTGACTGGATGAAGCATTGTGTTTCCATTGAGTCCCAGCATGGTCTACTAAAGCTTTGATCAGAACGATCATTCTCATTCAGAGCAGTTTTTCATAACACATGACCAGGATTCTAATATCTGGAACTTCTGCCACAAACACTTTTTTGAGTGATTGCAACCTCGTCTTGCAATATACAACTAATTTGTTTTGGTTGATAATCTTGTTTTCTGGACTGCACCCAGACACTGAAGCCTTTTGTAACACAAACAGAATTGGAATTTTATTGATGTAATTTCAAAATGTATTTGTTTATATTTGTTGGTCAGTATTTCACTGCATGATTGTATGTGTCTATATTTAGTTGTTACAATAATTCAAACAAAACTTGCATAAATCATTTTTTGTCAATCAAACATAATTCGCATAATCATAATTACTGTGTACATTATAGCTGTTTGGCCCACAATAAAACCAGGAAGTAACATTATAAATCAATATAATAGCCCAACAGGGATCGTTTTTATTGTATTTTTGCGTTTAGCCAAATCTTAAATCTAGTCATGTCAACTGTGTGTGAAAATTACAGTCTGAGCTGTTGAACGCACTTTTTAACCCTATTTTTTACTTTTCTGCGTGAAAAAGCTGCTCCAAATATGTGACGGAGGGAAAACATAAATGCATTTGAAAACTAGAAATGGAACCAAACTGTTTTAGCGCAAGGATTGGAATTAAATAGATTGTTTTCTTTTTTTTGTGTTGGTTTCAAAGTAAGGGGTCTCAGCTTTAATTTGACTCGAGATAGTATGATTTTACAGCAGTATGATCAATCAATTCAAAATTATGGTGGAGGTGAGTATTCTTAGAAAGGTCACATTTGTGATTATTATGTTTTTTCCATTTGGAGCTCCAAAAACTACCGATTGTACCTTTTTGATGCTTTTTCTCATCAGTTCTCACCCTCTGCCCTTGAATTTTGAGTCGGCAGCAGAATGTAAAAGTGTGTCTCAAAATATCTCAAAGATCTGATGTCAGCAGGAGAAACACAGTGTCACATATTTGATAAGGATTTGTGTCTGTCTGATATAATCAAGATTAAAAATGAAATGATTCCAACATGCAGTGTTTGGCCATTCTCCATCTACTGTATATCAAGAGCAGTGTTCCTTCTTTTATATAATTCAATACTGTTTATTGAACCCGAATACACTCGCTTGAACCTTCCTAGTTTAAAATGACTAAATACCTTTCAGCTTGTTTAAACGTTGATAGATTTTCAAATAATTATGCCATAATCAATTTAACCTTGTGCTCACATCTGTGCCTACGTGTTTGGAATATTAAAACCAGTTGTTTTGTATGCCACTTGTATTTTAAAATCTTTAAGGTATACAGGCGGATTTTCCCCAATTTTAGGAAAGAACCGCCCTCTACACTTTTTGAACAACTCTCTGGTCTTGTATAACGAGCGCGTATCACCAGAATGATTGACAATTGGACCAATAGTCTTGATGATCCACTCGGAAGTAACTAGATATAGTTTAAGAGATGACAGTAAATTTATTTTACCAAAAGTTAGAAAATCACAGACTCAGAGATGTCTGTCGTTTCATGGGCCTCAGTTCTGGAACAATCTCAGCAGAAAGATGAAAATATGGAATTCTTTTTTGTATTCAAGAAAACACTGACACAGTCGATGCTGGACGGATACCGAACTGAATGATTTTGTTAAACTTGTAACTAAAAATCGTTAATTCATTGAAATATGTTATGGTAATTTGTATTGTATCATGAACATGCAATGGACGCACAATTTTTTAAACTTTTGCCCTAATAATAAATAAACTGAAGTAGAAAGTCCTCCTATATGTCTTTAAGTTATTCGTATCCATCAATTGAAATTCTCCATATAAAGAAATTACAATATTATAATGAATTTACTTTTATTTGGTATTAGTATTGATGGGACCTGTCATTTTAACCCTTGGATTTTTTGGATCCAAGAAAAACCCGTTTTCGTACGTAGTGAGTAAAGAAATTTTTTTACTGAGATGTTGTCGACTCTCACCCATGGCTTTTATTTTCTTCTCTTTCTAATATAATTTCATTTGTTGGATGTTTCTTTTGGTTTGGTATCTGATCCTAACATTATATATGCACAGCTCTTATGCAGTTGCAGAAATACTGTCTGTGCCGTACATGAATATTTCACCTCATTCATTTTGCATGATTTTGACATAAATGCTCTTAGCCGGGTCACCAGGTTCAACAGACCGTCCGTGGGATCTCACATTATATCTATTTCTGTTCTTTTCCTGGAGCTCATAAACATTCTTACCTAATGCTGGTGTTCCGTGCCTCTGGTCTGGTTTAAGCAGTGTGGATCTGTCCCACTCCTCTAAACCCCACAGACAGCTGACCCGGCTCAGCATCGACCAGCGCCAGGACAATGGACAGAGAGAACCGTCTGGTACCAGCACGGGACATAATGCAAACTCATATGAAGTTATATTGGGCATTTTCGGATTTGAAATGTCTGAGGGCTGCTCGATTTAAATGAATGAACAAACTACAAGTCTGAAGATATCACAAGGGACAGCAATGACTATATGTATTTCTAAAATTAGAGAAATACATTCTCTCATACATATGGCAAACTGCTTTTAGTGTAGACTTGTCTCATATTTTCAGGAAGACTTTAGCAGCAAACATGTGAAACAGTGACTCCTCATGGTCAATCCTGATTCTGGGCATCAACAGGCGGATTTTTAACCAAGAGATTAAGATTAAGGATAATTTATTGTTATTATTGAAATGTATCCTGTGAATTTGACCCATTTTTAATTGCCATATCTGTCAGGAGCAGTGGTGGAAACGCGACTAGTTTAGTGTTAGGGTCAACCGTAGCACCTGAATGAGACCACTCTGAAAGGCCCTGTTCTGACTGGGATTCAAACCTAGGACCTTCTTGCTGAGAAGGACAGTTGCTTCATCCAGCGGCTGTCTATGAAGCTAATCCTCAACGTTGTACTAGAAATAAGTATTGTAGAGTAATATAGAATGTATATGTCAGTTACTTTTCAAATTGTTGAGATGGAGAGATTAGTTAGTCCCGCCCCCACATATTCCTGATTGGAAGCAATGAATTGGAATACTTGATAGACAGCTGAGGCCCCTCCCCATTGGTCGAACTACGGTATTCACCTCCAGCAAATCTTACTGATGCTTATTCCAAGGGCAGTGACTGTTTTAAAAATGTTTATTATGAAACATACTTAGTATCTTCTTAAATATAAGGTCATATTGTCATTATAAAGTCAACTTTGACTGCTGCAGCTGTCGGTTTTGGTAATCAGGTAATCTTTTGTTTATATTTGATTAGTCAATAAAATATATTCACTTTTTCAGTGTTCATACATTTAAAAAAAAGATTCAACTCCACCTTAAAGTGATTGTCTGGAGTTTGTCAGAAAGAGAGACAGAGAGGTACTTGATTTGAAAAAAACGACGCAAGCTCCCTCCCCCTTCCTTTCTGATTGGTCTACACCTACGTTTCCGTAACACTTTTAAATGTTAATCAGTGAACACATTATACATATACATTATTAATACACATGCACAGAGGTTTTCAGAATTATATGTTTATATATATATATATATATATATATATATATATATATAAAAGCACTGTCTGTTATTATGAATAGATCAAGTGCTTATTTAATAAAAAACTCTGTAAAGAACTACTTCTATTTCTGAGGTGATGATATTCCTGCAATGTTTCCACGCTTAGTCCACTCTACAGTCGAACCACAGGTGCCTCAGAATCACTGCCACACATTCTTTGAACCCTCATTTC